AACTGCTGAACAAACAGGTATGAATGTTTAAAGCTATTTTTAGCTTTGGCGTGTCATTATAATATTTTCAGCATAATACTCGAAATGGTCTAAAATTAGGAAGAAGGGGAGGGGGAGGGCAAATTTCTTCCATGCTGCAAAAAGACCTGTGCCAAATAGAATATATTTATTACCAGCTGGTTTATTATGGAACTGGAGGCGAAAGACAAGACTACAAGGGGGGGGGAGGAGAGGCGGTGTCGTGCAACGTCTATATTTGCATATAGACCATGCAAATCAGTGTGCATTTAATCAGTGTAGCAATTCATTTGATTGGATAATGGATCTACATGTTAATGAGGTCAGAATGGTGAGGGAATAGAAACAAGGGTAATAGCTTCAGGAATGAAGGTAGATATATGTGTCCTGGCATAATGTTGCAGGATCTAATCTCAGTCGGTCACCCAAACTAAAGATTTATTCTTCCAAGATTTTGGGCTCTTGATGGACCCCATTATCAGGGAATTTCTCTCTCTCCAGATTCAGAGTTTCAGACTGGATCTAATACAGTAGTGGGTTTCCAAATTTTTTACTACCGGTTCTGTGGGCGTGGCTTGGTGGGTGTAACTTGGTGGGCATGGCAGGGGAAGGATACTGCAAAATCTCCATTCCCACCTCACTCCAGGGAAGGTTACTGCAAAATCCCCGTTTCCTCCCAATCAGCTGGGACTTGGGAGGCAGAGAATAGATGGGGGCGGGGCCAGTCAGAATTTTTACTACCGGTTCTCCAAACTACTCAAAATTTCCGCTACCAGTTCTCCAGAACTGGTCAAAACCTGCTGAAACCCACCTCTGATCTAATAATAGTTTAAATTAAACAGAGGGCCGTAAGGCAAGACCTGTTCAGATGTTGCTTTCTTGTAAGGATATCTATGTCCTTGCTTTCCCATCACTTTTATTACCTAGTATCTACATCTATATTTCTTCGCACCTTAATGTTTTATGGCTGAGCTAATGGTTTATTTTCCTGAGAATATGCACACATACATGCATACACACATTGATATTTATGCTTTATTTGGTTCGGTACACAGGTCTAATTTTCTGAACTTCTGTTTCTCCCATATCAGATTCATTTTCTGAAGGCAGGAAGACTTATTCAAGAAGTAGGTCCATTCAGGAAAAGCATCATCATTTGTGATGAATATATAAAAAGATTCTTAGGTTTCTACATCTGCCAGAGTATGTGTTTTGTTTCACAATTGGATTAAAAGGAAATAGCCCTGGTTGGGAATTCTGAAAGCTGTAGTCACAACTTCTAAACTACTGGAGGGCCAGCAGGTTGGGAAAGACTTAAAAAGAAACCTTCTAAACAGGGGTGGGTTCTACTTACCTTTACTACCGGTTTGCAACATGGCCGCGCACGCGCTCTCGCTTTGCTCACGCATGCGCAGAAAATTCTGTGCATGCACAGAAGCATTTTGATGACATTGGGTTCGGTGGGCGGAGCCTCCCACCGGTTTTACTACCGGTTCTATAGAACCCGTGCGAACCGGGGACACCCAGATGGGTGACTTATGGGCTCTTACACTGTGAAATTTTAATATGGAAAGCTACACAGAGTCATTGTCTGAGTTGAACAGCCACATAAATGTTTTCAATAAATAAATAAAAAATGACCAGAGCAAGTGCTGAATGAATGCAACCAGTCTTCTGTAAGCAGCTACATCTTCCTTGCTGAATTCTTCTACTTTATTTTGCTTACAAACTAGGCAAATGTTTTCATTTGGGAGAAATTTTCACAGCCAACAAGGGGGAAAACCTAGATATTGAGCCTTCCTGAGAGAAGCAGAAAAGAGATTTTTAACAACTATTTCCCATCTATTTAAAACTTCTCTGTCAAAGGATAATGCAGCTATTCTCAGCGACTTCCAAAATGGATTCTCAAAAGATCAGCAAATGTGGGGTCATTCCTTTTAGCCTTTAAATAAAACAGCAGCATAGAATCCAAAGGGGGTATTTTATTAATTCTCTCTTTTGTCTGGTCCCATGCTGCTTTGCTAATAACTTCCACTGGGTGTCTGAAACAAAACAGCCAAAGAAGTAGAAAAGAGGTATTTGGTACGTATCAATAATACAACATGTAAGGTATGCCTCTAAGATAACCAGATGTTCAGAATCTGGAAAATAATGGTTGGTTGGGGGTGAGGTGGGAGGAAAGGGGAAAGTGTTTTTGCCAGGAGGGGTTCCAGCATATATATATCAAGTCACCAGCCTGGATGAGTATTAAGAAAACAATTGTGCCAGAATAGAATAGAATAGAATAGAATAGAATAAAATAGAATAGAATAGAATAGAATAGAATAGAATAGAATAGAATAGAATAGAATAGAATAGAATAGAATAGAATAGAATAGAATAGAATAGAATTCTTTATTGGCCAAATGTGATTGGACACACAAGAAATTTGTCTTTGGTGTATATGCTCTCAGTGTACATAAGGAGAATAAAATACATTCATCAAGAATAAAAAGATACACCACTTAGTGATAGTCAAGGTTACTAATAAGCTATCAAACGTACTAAGAAACAAATAAAACCAATATAAATTGAAAGATACAAGCAACATGGTTATAGTAATAAATGGGAAGAGATAGATATTAGTAAGGAAGAGAAGAATAACAGTAATACAGTCTTAGTAAATAATTTGACAGTGTTGTGGGAATTAGTTGTTAAGCAGAGTGATGGCATTCGGGGATAAAACTGTCCTTGTGTCTACTTGTTTTGGCGTGCAGTGCCCTATAGCGTCATTTTGAGGGTAGAAGTTGAAACAATTTATGTCCAGGATGTGAGGGGTCTGCAGAAGATTGGTTGTTCTTCTCTTTTTTGAATGGGTACAACACATCTAGAGAAATATCTGATAGATTTTGTAATTTCAAATACAAAATGCTGGTGGTAAAACCCTTCATGGTTTAGGATTTGGGTATCTAGGAGACAACCTTCTTCCAGTAGATTCTGCCCATCTATTAAACCATTGGGATTCAGTCCCATCCCCCCACCCACTCTACCCCAAATAGGGACTACAGAATTGTTAAAATGGAGGGGACTTTTTTAATAAAACCATTTGTATAGTTTTAAATATTTAATCCACATAGTTTTAATATTTAATTAGTTTTCTAGTTCTCTTTTTATAATCTGTAAACTGCCCAGAGTTGCCTTATAGATGAGATGGGAAGCATAAAGATTAAATAAATAAAGCTAAGGTCTATCTCTTTAGGGACTGTCATCTTCAGGGATTATAAAACAAACTTTCTCAGTCATGACCTCCCTTTCTTTGGAACACAATTTTCTCCAGAATTAAATTGGTCCCCGCTCTTTTGATTTTTCAGAGTCATCAAACTATGGCTCTTCGAAAGAGTGCTGAGATAAAACTGTTATGAGTAGATGACCTTCCTAGCTGAGGATTTTCATAGGATAGTACCAGATTCTCAGTTATCAGGATTTCAATTATTATGGTGGTTCATGGACTAATGTTTTCTTTTAACATTCTGTATTAGGAATGCAAACTATTTAAAGTACTTTTGGATACTATTTTTAGATTGGTACCTAGTATTTTTAGATTGAAATGGACTATAAGCCCTAGTATATGCCGTAAATAATTGAGTTATACTACTATTTTGGGAAGTCAGCTGTTGGTTAATTGCCGGTTATGTTTTTGCACTATCTTGCATTTTATCCAAAGAAAACTTTCCAAAGTTAATGCCCTTTATATGTGGAATTTTCTATAAACCAGATTTGAATAATCTGGGCAGCACACTTTAATCAATATAATTTAATTAAATGCTAGAAAATGGACAAAATAAAGATTCCAAGAGAATTATATGCATATCTGTCTAGAATACTTTTTTGCATCTGCAAAAGGTCACTAAAAAGAAGATGTATGCACTAATCTATATCAAATGTTATGTTGGGCAATGCCATTTCAAGCTGGAACTTAAGGAAGAGTTCTGCTTCTATCAAATTTGAGTGGGTCTAATTTATGGCATATTTGGGACTATCTTCTGCTACATAATAGGACAGAATCCCATCATATCCTGGTGTTAGTTTTTGCTTTTAATCGGTGATAAGTTTATAAGGTACCCCAAAAGGCCATCTCCTTCCACTTATGACTGTATGACTGTAATTTTGTTGCTTGTATCCTTACGATTTATATTGTTATTGTTTCCTGATTGCTTATTTGTACCCTGTAACTATCATTAAGTGTTGTACCTTATGATTCTTGATGAACGTATCTTTTCTTTTATGTACACTGAGAGCGTATGCACCAAGACAAATTCTTTGTGTGTCCAATCACACTTGGCCAATAAAAAAATCTATTCTATTCTAAAAGCTTTGAGCGAAGATCTTGAATAAGCATTTTATGTAGAATAAATGACCAGACGTGACATCAAAATGCTAGGTTGACTGCATCCATCAAAAATTCATTTTCTTGAAAAAACTGGGGGATACACAACTCATAAACCCCTTTATGTACTTCCTACTCTTTTGTCTGTGCCCTAGAACATAAATCACTCATTTAGGGTGGTGAAAAGATTACAACGCTTTAATAATAAAAACGCTGGACAACAGCCCTCAATGTAAAAAAATAATAATAATACAGTTATGACGAATTTGGCAACCACCCACAATAGGCAGATAATGGGATGGGCAGTGTATACATGTGATAATAAACAAATAAATAGGAAAGGGCGCAGTCGGGGGGGAGCTTATTAACTTTCTTCTTCCCTTCCGACAATAAAAAGCAACTCCCAGAAGGGTTGTGCTCAACAAAACTGAGGACGAGGCCTGGAACAACAACCCAGGTCCCCTCCTTCCTTGCGCCCTTTCTACAAGCAAGGGCGACCTGATGCCGCGCGGAACCAAGGCGAGGCTATTCAGTGTTTCCCGGCGAGCAGAGCTAAGCGCAGCACCAGGAAGCGGGCAAAGAGAAGCTTGAGCAGAAACTGGCAGCGGCGTCAGCGGGAAGGCAAAAAAGTGAGACCCTTCCTCCTAGCTACGCTGCAAACGGCCAGAGGCAGCATGCCCCGCCCCTAAAAAGCTGGGAGGCGGAGAGAGGTTAAGCCGGGCATCGGGGGAGACCGAAGGCGATGCTGCGAGGCTCCTCGTCTCAGGTGAGAGCCCTGCGCGGAGGCGATCACCTTTTATTTAGAATCGCCGCCCCTGCAACAAAAGGATTCGAAATGGGTTCTGCGGGTTCTTCGCCGGCACCGATTGGCTGAGGATCACCTGGTCAGCACGTGGCAGTCTTCCGCCCGGAACCTCCTCGTAGGCTTAGAATCAGAGGTCTTCAAACTTGGCAGCTTTAAGGCTTGTGGACTTCAACTCCCAGAATTCTCCAGCCAGCATAGCATAGCATGCTGACTGGAGAATAGTATAGCATAGCTGGCTGGAGAATTCTGGGAGTTGAAGTCCACAAGTCTTAAAGCTGCCAAGTTTGGGGACCCCTGGTAGACTAACAGTTTCCATAATATTGAATGTCCATGCCGGTCAGACCCAGTGCAGCTGAAGCTTGCATATTGGGAAATGGTTTGCCTAGATCAGGTTTCTACAAACTGAAAACTCAAGATGAGCCATTTGAGAATTAAGTGTCCATGATTAATTTTCACCAATGGTGGACCTGCCCACAGGCGGTTAAATATTGGAAAAAAATACGGCAATGGATTTTGGAAATTACACAAATTAATTTGGAATTAAGACCTGAGATTTTCCTATTGGGGGCAAAACCTTTGAATGTTAAATCAGATATATGGTTCTTGTTGATTCACATTATCACTGCAGCAAGATTAGCGTATGCGCAGGAGTGGAAAAATCAATACTTACCGATAGATTTGAAAATAATATATAAAATTAATGAGTGTGCGGAATCAGATAGATTAACTAGATTGATCAATGGTAAAAAAGATTCAGAATTTTATAACAGTTGGAAAGTATGGTACGATTGGGTCCAGAAAAGGTGGGATAGAATAGATATATGATGATGTATATATATATATATATGATGGCAAATATGTATGTATAAAGGAATGATTTTATATTTACGGACAATGTAATCATTATACCATGATGGCAGGATTGTATATTTTATTTGTATATTAGTGTATAGAATATATTAATAAAAATTATATATATATTAAAAAAAAGAGAGAATTAAGTGTCCATGCAGCACCTATTTCAGGAAAGTCCTAGAGAATATGGTCATCTCAAGCTCAACCTATAGATTATTTTAACACTTGGTGAGCTAAGATTTCTTTTTTTTAAAAAAAGAAGATGCAATTGGCTAGCCCCGGCTGCTCATTTTCTACATTGCTGTTTTCCAATCCGAAAAGTGCTTTTTTTTTTCCCCCCAAGAAGCAACTGGACTTTTTGGTTTGGTTTTTTAAGACATTTTGCTTCTCATTCATCAGAGCTGAAGAAGTCAATGGAGATTCTCAGTCATCCAGGTCATGGTTGTCCTACCAAAGGTGCTTATTTTTCAAGAGGCAACTGGACTTCGTTTTTCTTTGAAGACGTTTCGCTTCTCATCCAAGATGCTTCTTCAGCTCTGCAATGTAGAAAATGAGCAGCTGGGGCTAGCCAATTACACCCCTGAGTTAAGGCATCAAGCTAGGAACAGGAGACCTGGTGTTCTAGGCCTGCCTTAGGCACAGGACCATCTGGATGACCTTGGGCCAGTCATTTTCTCAGCCCTAGGAAGAAGGCAATGGCAAGTCACTTGCCAGTATGTTTTCTTTTTAAATATTGAACATGCAGAATATAGAATTGAGGTCTTCTGGTCGAACCCTTTGCTCGAGGAGGAGTCCTTATACAATCCCGGGCAAAAGGCTGTGCAATCTCTTTAAAAACTTTCCAGTGCACTCACAACTTCTGGAGGCAAGCCGTTCTCCTGGTTAATTATTAATTAATTTAACCCTACTTGTGTTGGAGCATTAAAACAGCCATATCTCCATGCTACAGATTTTGAGTAATGAAGGAGGGTAAGAAAGACTTGAGTAAGTTGCCAAGGATGCTGGTGAATATGGTGAGATTGACCCTACACTTTCTTTGAATAACGAATGCTTCATTCTACAGGGTTTATACATTGCACTAAGATACAATGCTACTTGTTTAATTTTGGCTTAGTCTGATGAATAAACCCAATCACTGTGGTTTGTAAAACATGTTTTGTGGTTATTGTGTATAGGTACTATGGTTTACAAATTTAAAATAACAAAACAACGCGGCAGTTTGTACAAGTTTCAACACTATCCCAGTAATTCAGCACTACTTTTTTCCCCCAGTGATGCTATGAATAACGCCTAAAAAGTTATTGACTGATTAGGCTTAGTTAGCCACAAAATTCTACAGGTCAGTTTTATCTCTTCTATTTTTTCAGGTTGTGATTGTTGTTTCTACTTTTAACAAACATGGCTCCTGTAAGCAGTTGTCTGAGCACTTGAAAATGAAGATCATTCACTCTTACAAATCAAGGCACAGATTCCTGCTAGCTACTTCAAGGGTACAAAAAATTGTCAAGAAATGGAAGATTGTGAAACTGATGAAGCCAAGACAAGGCCTAGAAAAATTGGTTAGAATTGTTCTCAAACCTGTCACACCTGCAAAAAGAGTTCACAGTTCACTGCATACTACCTGCTGAAAAGGATACATGGTTATACATTGATGAACTAACTTCAAATCTATTATCTAGTTTTAAGAATATTCATATTTCTTTTTTATAGTTTACCACACAGAGGCCTTTTTTCACATCGGAATTGTTATAGAATAAAACCTAAACATGGCGAAGGTGATCACCATGCTTCAAACCCTCAGAAATCATTGGAAGAAGACTACAGTTGGGATCTGCCTGGTTACATGGGGAGGAAACTGGCTTTATGGAAAACACTGGTAATTATTATGGAGTCTTTCAATGATAATTTTTAAAAAACACTCCAAACAGAAGTGGCAAAAGAGCTATAGATTGTCCCCTAGTTAGTTTTTGCTCTTTGTTGTAACCAAGGAATGTTTTGAATCAGATCAGAGAAATGGGTAGAGGAATGAGGAATGACCCTGCAAGCTAATCTTTTCTCTCCATCATACGAAGCTATTTGGATTTAATAGCTTTTCTGAATGTCATAAGAAAGCAGGTCGGGGAATTTTAAAGACTTTGGAGAGTTGTTTGTGTGTGTATAATCTCAGAATCCGTGTATAAAATTATGAATAGCTTAAGCAATTGGGTCAGCAAGAGACTGAATTTCCATTTTACGTATCTGTCAAAGGGAAACATCTTTGGGTATAAAGTTTTATGAACTTAATTCGTATTTTTTCCTCAGGAATCAGGAGAGAAAATTACTATGGGGAAAGAAAATGCATTTTCGATTAAAACATCAATTAGCTTTATTTAAGGTCAGAATCAATGATGAATATAGATAGTCCTCGACTTACAACACTTCATTTAGTGACCGCTCGAAGTCACAACTGCACGAAAAAAGCAATTTATGACCATTTTTCACACTTATTGCATTACATTATTTCCCCATAGTCACATGATCAAAATTCAGATGCTTGTGATCTGACTCATATTTATGACCTTTACAGTTGTCCCGGGGTCACATGATCACCTTTTGTGAACTTCTCAATAGGGAAGCCAGATTCACTTAATACAGGGGTGAACAACTGTGGCCCTTTTACAACCTGTTGGACTTCAACTCCCAGAATTCCAGAGACAGCTTGGCGAGTTGAAGTCCACAGGTTGTAAAAGGGCCACTGTTGCCCACCCCTGACTTAATAAGTCTGTTACTAACTTAACAACTTCAGTGATTCACTTAACAACTGTCGCAAAATGGTGCAAAATTCATTTAACAAATCAATTTGTACAGTACAAATGGACTGTAAGTCAATGTATTATCTGCTACGAAAAGATGTACATGTGATCATAATACTTTCAAGCAAAGGTATATCCCATTGACTTCAGAATAGGATGAGCTGTAAGGGATCTTGGATATCTTCTAGTCCAATATTCATTAAAGGCCAAATGCTCTCCACCACCTCTATTAGTTGGTTGCCTGCTTTTACTTTTAGGCAATTTCTTCCAACATCCATCCCAAATATGCCTTCTGTAGTGGAATATGTGAATGATCTTGGGAAACACGAAGAAGAGATACTGTCTACGAAACAACTAGACAAGATGGAGAAGTCCCAAAAGGCTTAACTATATCAGAGAAAAAAAAGTTGGGAAGGACCCCACCCTACTTGATCAAGCAAGTTTGTGTCTTCAGACTTGCAGGATTCTCTTAATGTGGCCTTACTATAAAGTAGAATTAGTTTCTCTTGTTTTCTGTCTTGTTTTAACTGGGAGATTTGACATCAGTCTTGAAAATCTGAAGATTTCCCGCTGTCACTTTTATCTGTATGATCAATTAGGATGGGTCCTTTCTAAATTTCTTTCTCTGATTGTTAATCCCTTGGGGTCTCCTCCCTCTCCTCTGATTTTTTTTTCCTAGACAGCATCTCTTCCCCTCATTCCCCAAGGTCATCCACACTTTCCAGTATATCTTCTGAAGATTTTGAACCATTAAATTCCATGTCTCATGCTCTGGGATGATAGAGAACACATCACAAGCTTCATCTGTGTGATATCACTTCAGATATTTGAAGCATACTGTAATATCCCCAGGCTAAACAAGCCCTGTTCCCTCAGTCTGTCCTCATAGACTTAGCATGAATTGTTCCTGATGCAATAATACAGGAATAGGCAGTATGGTGCTCAAGAAATAGTTTTCATATTTTTTTTAAACAGGAGGCATGCATGCTGCAAAGAGGCCTTTAAGCATCATTGTCTTTATTTATAAGAAAGCCTCATTGGCTCTGATAAATAGCTATTTGTTGCTGTTAGTTGCAAAGTCGTGTCCGACCCATCGTGACCCCATGGACAATGTTCCTCCAGGCCTTCCTATCTTCTACCATCCTCTGGAGTCCATTTAAGCTCATGCCTACTGTTTCAGTGACTCCATCCAGCCACCTCATTCTCTGTCGTCCCGTTCTTCCTTTGCCCTCAATCTTTCCCAGCATCAGATTCTTCTCCAGTGAGTCCTTCCTTCTCATTAGGTGGCCAAAGTATTTGAGTTTCAACTTCAGGATCTGGCCTTCTAAAGAGCAGTCAAGGTTGATCTCCTCTAGGACTGACCGGTTTGGTCGCTTTGCAGTCCAAGGGACTCACAGGAATCTTCTCCAGCAGTAAATAGCTATAGCTCACTATTTTTTTTTAATAAGGGAGGGGATTGAGAAGAGAAGCTGCTGCTAGTGTTAATCTATACTGGTTGTCTATACTAGATCTTCTGAGCAGCTGTCATGAGTAGATTTCCCAAAGCCACGAGAGCCAAGTCAAACAGAACTGGAAAATCCAACTTGCCAATGAAATAAGATATACTGTCCTTTGCCCCATCAAAAAGCAACCCTAAATGATGTCTTGGTTATGCAGGAGAATTGAACTGCTGGCAGCTGACAGGATTAGCATGCAATACTGCATTCTAACCACTGCGCCACCACTGCTCTTAATGTTAAAATTCATGTTAAGAAAAAATATTCCCTCAGTGCTTTGCTATCAGAGTAGTAGTTGGGAGGAGGTTTCCTCCATTCTAACCTCCCTCTTTCTCCTCGTTTTATTTCCTTACCTTGGTACAGGTAGGGAACTTACAACCACAATTGGGTCTGGAATTTTTGGTCATAAGTTATTGCAGTCATTAAACAACATACCCACATGACCAGTTTGCTCAATGACCACAGCCTGGCTCTCTCAGTTGTGGTTGTTAAGCGACTATATGGCTTGTTAAGTGGACAGAGCAAAAGAGTTGCCTGCCAAAGAAAACACTGGATGGTGCATGGAAGGGAACTTATAGTTTACTTTATTGTCATTGCACATGGTACAACAAAATTAAATGCCGTCTTCAGTGTACATTATAACTATAAAAATAAAAACGCAAACATACATCCTTTACATTCTATATAATTGAAATTGAAAATCCGATATTGCACTATACAGTAGAATTCAATATGGTTATTGCCCTGGGATAGAAGCTATTTTTCAGCCCATTTGTCCTTGTTTTTGTTGACCTGTACCGTCTGCCAGATGGTAATAGTTCAAAAAAAGGATGCCCAGGATGAGATGGATCTTTAAGAATGTTTTGAGCTTTCTTAAGGCAGCGGGAGCTATAAAGCTCTTCCAAAGTGGTGAGAGGGCAACCAATGATCCTCTGGGCAATGACGTTGACCCTCTGGAGCGCTGTCCTATCTACCGCTATGCAATTGGCAAACCATACACAGGTGCAGTATGCACTTATGTGCTGGGCTGGAGAAAAATTCAAAGACAGGCCTCCTCCTCCCCTCCATATCAGAAAGGGAACCACAGCTCTAATTTGGAGAAAGTAAGCTTTTTATTTTTAGGACCTAAGCTTTCTTTCTTTGGTCTGCTGTAGGAGTTCACCTCCCTTCCGTATATTAACCTTTTTACTCTTCCAATCTATTTCAGTTTTAGAGCTGGTTTTTAAATAGTATTTGATAAAATGTCTTCAATTAATCAAAAGTCTACTATTGATATAAAGTGTCCCTATTTCTTAACTTGCAGGACGTATTCCTCCGAACACTAAAACCTCTAAGGAACCTTTTGATAAATATTCCAATTAGGGATAATTGGAGTAATTTATTACTTATACATTATCTTGCTTAGGAAGCTTGTTTCTGTTTGCCCCATTATTTTCACTAAAGGTTCCCCATTGTGTGTTTCTCTTGTTGCTTACTTTGAATTTCCCCTGATTGGTTTTTTATTGTAAATCTATGTTCTTACCAGTGGAAAGGTTACTATGGCAGGAAGGGACTTGGTTTGAATAAAAGTTGCTTGCTTGAACTAATTTTGAGTGGCACCAAAAAATAGACTAGGGAGAGGAAATGCAAAGTAAGTTGCAAACATTATAAGGCAGGGGTGTCAAACTCAATTTCATTGAGGACTGCATCAGGGTTGTATTTGACCTTGGAGGGCGTGGCCGTGGGTGGGCATAGCCATGCGTGTGGCCATGGTGGGCGTGACATGGGAGTCGTGTCAGGGGCACATTTGGTGGCCGGGTGCTAAGGCAGGACTTCCCTGAGATCCTCACTTTCATTATAATCTTCCTTCCTTCCTCTCTCCCTCCCTCCCTCCCCTCCCCTCCCCTTTTTTCTTTTTCCTTCTCTCTTCCTTCTCCTTTCTTCTTCCTTCTCCTCTTTTCTTAATTTTTCTTCCTTGCTCTCTTCCCACCTTTCCTTATTTTCTTAGCCTTTCCTCTTTCCCTTTCTCCTTTCCTATCCCTTCTTGCATGCTCAAATGCAAAAGGGGAAACATTTCTCCTTTTGTTTTGTTTTTAGTTTGCCCTCATAGCCCTCTGTCAGCAAAAACGGAGCCTGCCCCGTGCCCCGTTTTCAGTTGTGATGGCTTCCTGCAGCCTTCTGCCAGTGAAAATGGGGCAACGGGGAGGCCGCGCAGCCCTCCCAAGCTCTGTTTTCACTGACAGAGGCACCTTGGCCAGTCCCACGGGCCAGATTTAAACACCCCATGGGCCAAATCCGGCCCGCGGGCCTTGACACCCCTGTTATAAGGCATCTTCATGGTTACTTGGATTGAAGCGTAATCCTTAATATATGGCCTATAGTACTTACTGACTAGAGGAGTCCTTTTTAAATCTCTTAAAGCAGGGGTCCCCAACTTCTGGGTCATGACCTATTTGGAACCAGGTCACATGAGTGGCGGGCAGGTGCGCATGCGCGCGCATGCAGCTCAATTTGCACGAGCGGTGGGCCGGCATGTGTGCGCACAGCTCAACTTGTGCAAGTTGAGCTGTGCACATGTGTGCACCAGTCCACTACTAGCATGGCCAGGTTCCCGTCTTCCCCCCTCTCCCCAGCCGGACTGCTAAGCCGCAAAGGTTGGGGACCACTGTTTTAAAGGGAGCAAATCCTATTGATCTACGTGTCCCTGACTTCGATTTTTGCAAAACACACAGGAACCATTTGGACTTTTACCCACTGGCTTTCACCCTTGTTCAGACTCAGAGTTTTTCAAGCTATGAGTATTAAAATTGGAGCATCCTAACACACTTAAACGTTTGATATTGCCATCTCGCTTTAGTTACATAACATTTTAAGGAATCCCTGCAGCATTTGGTGCAGCATAAGATTGGTGAAATCAAATGAGAACCCAGATTGTTGGGGGCAATATGCTTACTCTGTAAACCTCTTAGAGAGGGCTGTAAAGCATTGTGAAGCGGTATATAAGTTTAAGTGCTGTTGCTATTTAGAAGGTATTAGCTAAAATTATAGAGGTGATTTACAGCAATCAAGGCTTGGTAGGTGGTGTATGTCAATATTGAATTGGAGTTTCTGGGTTGTTGTTTTATTTTATTTTATTGATAAAGGGATGTTAACACTTCTGAGCAATCTTGTCAAACATTTTTCCTTTACTTTATCCTTTTTTATGATTAATTTGAAATTGTATTATGTCATTAACATAGTTGTGTTATAATGTTACAATGTTTCCATTTTCTATCTCTTAATTTTTCTGTGCTGAACCAATTCTTTTTCTATCCAAAACCACATTGATTGGTTCAGCACAATAAAATTATAACAAAAATATTTAAAAACAGAAAGAAGTAAACTTCCATTTGTCTCTTTATTAAATTTACCATCTAATTATCACTGAAGCTTCCAGCAAACGGGGAAGTAGAGAAAACACACCTTCAAGATAGACAGAGAAAGTCAATTCCATTTTATCAACTTCTACAAAACCAGGATGCTGTAGCTGAAGTGTGGAACTTGCTATCCAAGCATGCAACACACTAAATCTTTAAATTTGGCTCACAGCCCCCCTCCCCCCTCAGTAAGCCTTCCCTCCACACCATTTTACTCATGAAACTTAATGAAAGCAAATGTATGCTAATCTCTTGACATCCTTCTCCTTGGCAAATATTAGGAGAAGTAGAGAGAGTTAGCATATGCCAAAATTCAGAAATTCAAAGTCAGAGTGCCTCTTATGCTGTTTTGTGTATATATGTGCAGGTTGAAGGAAGGGGGAGGGGAATAGGGGAAAAAAAAGGGACAGTGGTTCTGATGCTATCCATCATCAGCTATTGTGTCAGGGGGGGAAATGGCCAAATTTTCTGCCCAGCTATGCAGGTTTGTTTTTTTTAAAAAAAATGCCATACTATTTATTTACATAATAGAGAATTTGGTTTCTTTGATCAGTGCTGTGGGTAAAACATTAATCCCTTATGTAAACTAGTACAAGGGACACATATGCTTGTTCTGAATAAATATCTAATTAAAGAAATTTATAACAAATGTAATATCTAACATTATGACTGCGGAAATGGTGTGTGCATTCCTAACCCACAGTGCCTTTGAAAAGTTTTGACTGCCAAAGCAGAAATCTGTTTTTTAAAATGCGTACATATATCTCCCTTCCCTAAATTTAGCTTATTTAATATTCATTTTTTGTCTTTTCTCCTCTTCTCCCCGTTATAGCGATAACCTGCTAAGGAGAGCTGCATGCCAAGAAGCCCAGGTAATACCAATTTAACAAGATCAAATTAGATTAAAATCCCCTTCTTATCTCACTTGTGCAGGATCGTGGAGATTCTCCCGGTGGGTCTGTTCTACGTGAGTAGCTTATCAACAAGGATGTCAGTATTTCATTTGCTCAAATACTACAAATGCTGCTTTCTTCTTGCAAAGCTTAGGCTTTGCACCTAATTATACCTCAAATTCCGCAAAGTATAAAATCAGTGGTGAATAGCTTCCAGGTATTTTTGATAATTGAGAAAGGATATTTCTTCATAGGCATTTGGGAGAAACTGATATTTCTTAGACTATTGGTACTCAGTACTGTTGGCAGTAACCTTTACACTGTATTTTTTTAAAAATCTCTACTTTTGTTATTATAAAAATAGTGGTGGTTTAGAGTTGTCCTTTGTTCTCCTGTCAGTTTCTGGAGATGAATAGTTGGAGATGAATCTGAGTAACACTAGTTGGATTTGGGGTAATGGAGAAGGAGAGGTAACCACTATGAGTTTATTACATTTCTAGATGTAGATTTCTCTGTAGCAGAGAGAAAAAGTTCTCCTCCCAAATCCAGATGGTACAGTGAGATCCCTCACTTCAGTGTGTTTGCCAATGGGATGGGATGGGATGGGATGGGATGGGATGGGATGGAATAGAATAGAATAGAATAGAATAGAATAGAATAGAATAGAATAGAATAGAATAGAATAGAATAGAATAGAATAGAATAGAATAGAATAGAATAGAATAGAATAGAATAGAATAGAATATCTTTATTGTCCCTTTGAATGTACCCTAATCCAAATACATTAAAATGAAATTTTGTTGCATTCAGTTCTCATAAGATAACCAGGGGTGAAATCCAGCAGGTTCTGACAGGTTCTGGAGAACCAGTAGTAGACATTTTGAGCAGTTCGGAGAACCGACAAATACCACCTCTGGCTGGCCTCAGACTGGGGTAGGAATAGAGATTTTGCAATATCCTTCCCCCAGGAGTGGAGAGGGAATGGGGATTTTGCAGTATCCTTCCCCTGGAATGGGGTGGGAATGGAGATTTTGCAGTATCCTTCCCCTGGAGTGGGGAGGGAATGGAGATTTTGCAGTATCCTTCCCCTGAAGTGTGGTGGGAATGGAGATTTTGCAGTATCCTTCCCCTGGAGTGTGGTGGGAATGGAGATTTTGCAGTATCCTTTCCCTGGAGTGGGGTGGGAATGATGATTTTGCAATATCCTTCCCCTGGAGTGTGGTGGAATGGAGATTTTGCAGTATCCTTCCCCTGGAGTGGGGAAGGAAATGGAGATTTTGCAGTATCCTTCCCCTGAAGTGTGGTGGGAATGGAGATTTTGCAGTATCCTTCCCCTGGAGTGGGATGGGAATGGAGATTTTGCAGTATCCTTCCCCTGGAGTGGGATGGGAATGGAGATTTTGCAGTATCCTTCCCCTGCCATGCCCACCAAGCCACGCCCACAGAACCGGTCGTAAAAAAATAGGATTTCACCACTGAAGTTAACCATTATGCATATACCCACACATATATGACACAAAGAAACATCACAGTCTTTTAACTTTTATCTTATTGATTTAAGGGTACAATAGTTTCTTTGAACCACCCAAGTCATTGAGAGAGGTTGCAGCATACGAGCTTAATACATTATTATTATTGTTATGCTCTTATCTGCAGTGCGTATGGTAAAGTGAGATACATTTTAGGCTGTGTCTCCTGCAGATTCTAGTTGCGTTAGGTTTTCTCCCTTTTATGTTATTTTTTCACATCGTATTTGCCTAGAGAGCTAATCTGAATTGTTGTACAATTATGGCTGCCCCTGTTGCTGTGGATTGTTCATCTTTTTAACAACTGTAAGGGATCAGAATGTTGTAAATGTAGAATGTAGTTTTAATTTGATTTTTCTCAAGAAATCAAAAGTAGTATGGATAATTACTTATTTTTTCCATCTCTTTTTCAAGTAATATGCCAGTTCAATTTTTTCTTTTGTTTGCCACGCTTAATCATTAGCTCTCACCTACCTTCTGCTTTCTTGCTCCCATTGCATAAAACGTGATGCTCATCTTTGTTCTATCAAGTTTCTTTCATTCTCTGTTTTAAGAGTCACAGTAATCTTCATAATTGCTTCTTTTGGGAAAAAAATATGTACCGTATTTTTTGGAGTATAAGACGCACCTACCTTTTTTGGTGAGGAAAAGAAGAAAAAGAAATCTCCCTCTTCTTAGCAATTTTGCCTCATTGCAGCAAACTGCAAACAGCCTGCTTTACTTTCATTTTCATTTTCAGCATAGCTTGATTAACACAAGGAAAAAAAAATCTGCTCCAGCAATTTACCTCTTTGCAGCAAGCAGCAGAGCCCTGCGCAAAACAGCTGAGAGCAAATCAGCTGAGAGTCAGGAGGCCGATCCAATCAATTTATGCTAATTAGCCTGTGCTGAAGCTGAAAGGAGCTGTTTTTTCTTGCTGTTTGCTTGCAAGGAGGTAACTGCCGCGAGGCAGAGGCCAAAGGGTGGGGGCCAGTGAGTGGGTGGGGCTACATTCGGTGTATAAGATGCACCTAAATTTTTACCCCCTTTTAGGGGGGAAAAGATGTGTCTTATACTCCGAAAAATATGGTATGTAAAAGTTTCAAAGATCTTACAGGTTCGTTATGTTATATCTCATTACAACAAAAACTGAGAAATATTCATTGGTCATTGATGGCAGTTTAATTTCCAAGGGGTTGGCTTTATTGCATAATTTGCATCAGTCTATCTCAGGTGTGTCAAACTCGCGGCCTGCGAGCCAGATGTGTCACATGCTGGCCACGCCCACACCCGGTGGGAAAAGTCATACATCATGTGACAATGCGAGTTTGACACCCCTGGTCTATCTCTTTATGAATGTTATCTCCTCTAGATGTGCTGGGACATCAGTTCCCAAAAAGTACAATACCCACAACCCATCTGGAGGGCACCAGCCTGGGGACAACTACAGTAGCACAACAATAAATCAATAAAATTTGTAAGATTCACATTCTGGATAATTGTATCTGGGTGAGTTATAAAGACCTTTACAGACCCACGTGCATTACAGCCGTAACGTTTTATTTATTTTTATTTATTTACCAAATTTAGAGTGATACCATATCACTCTTAAAAGGGGACGCAGTGGCTCAGTGGCTAAGACGCTGAGCTTGTCGATCAGAAAGTTCGGCGGTTCGAATCCCTAGCGCCGCGTAACAGAGTGAGCTCCCGTTACTTGCCCCAGCTTCTGCCAACCTAGCAGTTCAAAAGCATGTAAATATGCAAGTAGAAAAATAGGAACCACCTTTGGTGGGAAGGTAACAGCGTTCCATGGGCCTTTGGCGTTTAGTCATGTCGGCCATATGACCATGGAATTGTCATCAGACAGCGCTGGCTCTTTGGTTTAGAAACGGAAATGAGCACTGCTCCCTAGAGTCGGAAATGACTAGCACGTATGTGCAAGGGGAAATTTTACCTTTACTTTTATCTCACTCTCAGAGCGGTCTAAACTAAAGCTGAATATGATATGTTGAACACACCTTAAAAATTAAACACAATGACAGCTGGTTTGATCCATGAGTGAACAAAATCCCAAATCCATGGATACTTTTATTAATCACTAGGAGCATGGTAGTTTGCCTGGTTAGGACTTGGAGGTTAGCAAGCCCAGGTATGAGACTCGAGTGCTGTGGTGGGATGGGGTGAGCTTTCGTCCTTCGGTCCAACACTTGCTGTGGACAAGAAAGGAGCCCCCAACTGGGCGTCCCTGGGCAGCAGTGATGTCACCAGCTAATCCTTTCAACTAAAAATGCCTTAGTGCAGTGTTTCTCAACTTTGGAAGCTTGAAGTTGGGTGGACTTCAACTCCCAGAATCCCCCAGCCAGCAGCGCTGGCTGGGGGATTCTGGGAGTTGAAGTCCACCCATCTTCAAGCTACCAAGGTTGAGAAACACTGCCTTAGTGCTTCTAACATGGGTGGGATAAAATTAATGACTGAAGTCATGACTTAAACAGCTGACTATTTTTCAGACTTCATTGCTTCGTCTTGATCCCCTGATATTTGGACCTGATTTTGAGTATTGAAAATAACAGCATTTGTGTTACTTAATTAGGGGTTTAGAATTCAGAATATCAGAGGCACTTGTACAAGTTGCTTGTTGCGAGGGACAAAGCAAACAAGCCACTGGTTTCTTCCTTGAGCTCATCCCTTTCAGTGGGAAGGCATGCAGTAACTACCATGGCTTAGGACCTGGTTATCTACGGGACCGCCTGCTACCACCAATAGCCTCCCACCGACCAGTACGCTCCCATAGAGAGGGGCTCCTCCGGGTGCCGTCAGCCAAACAGTGTCGACTGGCGGCCCCCGGGGGAGAGCCTTCTCTGTGGGGGCACCTACTATCTGGAACGAGCTCCCCCCGGAGATACGGAGGATCCCGGATCTGCGTACCTTCCGTCGCGCGCTCAAGACTTTCTTATTTCATCAAGCTGGCCTGACCTAAGTCTTTCCCCTTTTTAAATGGGAATTTTAAATTTGTTTTTAAATTATTGGGGTTTTAAATTTGTTCAGCCAAATTATTTAATTCGTTTTATTTTTATTTTAAATTTTGTATTTATACGTTTTATTCTATGGCTGTTCACCGCCCTGAGTCCTTCGGGAGTAGGGCAGTATATAAATTCAATAAAATACAAATACCAAAAGAGAGTATTGTTTTTCGGTATCCAAATGAAAAATACTAATTATTCTGAAACAGTAAACTCTTGCTTTCTCTTTATTATTAGGTATGGGGCAACCAAATTATTCCTTCCAATATGCAGATAAAGAAAGCAACAGTATTTCTCAACCCTGCAGCTTGTAAAGGGTAAGGTTCTTTATGTTGTTGGTTTTCCTAATTTTTAAACCATATGATGGAACAATTGAGGAATTAGGTATGTTGAATGTTACAAAGCGAAGGACTAGGGGTGATATGATAGCAGTCTTCTAGGATCTGAGTGGCTGTCACAGAGAAGAGGGGAGAAGAAGTAACGGGTGGAAGAGTATCAAAGAGAAATCCAATCTACAACTAAAGAGGAATTTCCTGCTCTTGCAGGGAGAACAATTAATCAATGGAAAGGCTTACCTCTAGAAGTTGTGGGTGCTGCATCACTGGATGGATGGAGGTTTTTAACAAGAGACCTGACAGCCAGTTATCTGGAATGGTATAGGGTCTTGAGCAGGGAGTTAGACACTAGAAGATTTCCAAGGTCTCTTCTGACTCCATTATTCTATGTTCTACCTTCTGACTGTGGTCATGAGTGAGAATGGCAAGTGAACTGCCTATGACAGTGTTGGCGAACCTTTTCGGCACTGAGTGCTGAAACAGGAGGGAGGGAGGGAGGGCGGGCGTGCACGTGCTCACGCATGCCAGAAACCGGAAGAACAGTCACCCGGTGCACATGCAAATGCCGGGCAGCTGCTCTTCAGGTTTCTGGCACGCGCATGCGCACCGGCCACCTGGTCTTGCAGTTTCTGGTACACATGTGCGCGAAGACCAGCTGGCTTGTGCACATGTGTATGAAGACCAGCTGTCTGGTACGCATGTGCACGATGGGAAGATGATCTTCCGGTTTCTAGCGCATGCATGCGCACTGAACAGCTGCTCTTCGTCCAGAAACCGGGAGACCAGGTGGCTGATGGGCATGTGTGTGCTGGAAACCGGAAGTGAACGTGAACACCAGCTGGCCGGTGTGCCGGAACCCAGAAGATCAACAGACAACGGCTCGCATGGCCGGAGAGATGGCTCTGTGTGCCTCTTCTGGCCATCACGGGCCTATGATTTACTTAGTCAAGCTTCCTATATCATGTAATCCAAGCCAACTTGGCTTGTTCCAGAGTCTTTTTTTTATTTTGTATGACACAAAAAGTGTGGGTAGACAACTCCAGAGAGCTGATTCGTTATGCAACTTGCAGGATAATTGGTTAGGATTGTTGGATAACTAAGGCATAAATATAACATGTCATATGCAAATGTAATCATACTCCGAATATCATTCCATACGAAATGGGTATGCTACAAATATTCAGTCCCTTTTCTTAGACTACTTCCAAAAAGCCCCTTGTGCAAAAACTGATTGTTCTTCCTTAGTAAGTGGGGTTGTAATTATTTTAGCAGGTTGCTGGAAATCTTGCCTTTTTTTCCCTGTTAGATTTCTCACATATTTTGTTTGGGAAGAAACCCCGATTTGTCTAAGAGGTAATTTGAAAAAGGAGCCATCCTTGGCCCAGCTGTGCCAAAGTAACTGCTTGCACACCCTCCCATCCGTGGCAACAGTCACCTCTGGTCCAGCTGCAGTCATGTTATCCTACAACAGCCACTTGCCCACTCATCAGCTTGCTTGCACCAGGGACTCACAACATCTTGCCAGCTTCCCCACTGACTTTGTTTGTTGGGAGGCTGGCAGAGTTAGGGGTCTCCACTTAATGACCCCACTAATTGCTTAATGGCACAATGGGGATGGCTGGGATTTGCTGTTGCTAAGCAATATGGTCATGTGACATTGCACTTGTTTAGAGATGGAAATTCCAGGCCCACTGTTCACCAAGGATTACCTGTGGAAGATTTTAGAAATCTTCTACCCCGTTTCCCCCAAAATAAGACACCCTCTGATAATAAGCCCAATCACACTTTTGAGCACATGCAAAATAAGCCCTCCCCAAAAATATTTAAACGCATGCGTAGCCGGTCCCCTCCACTTCTTCTGGTTAGGGTTAGGGAGACAGAGCTGGAAATCAGGTAAGACAACAAGAGGAGCCCTGTCTTGCTCCACGCGCCCCAAAATAATAAGACCTCCCCGAAAATAAGACCAAGTGCTTATTTTGGGGTTCAAAAAAATATAAGACAGGGTCTTATTTTCAGAGAAATACAGGTATCTATGCAAAGAGCTCCTTCATAGCAATTGAATTGGTAGGGGTTGGGTAGCTGTCCTGATTTCCTAGCTTTTAGAATATTGTGATTTATTTGCGATTCTACAGAATTATTCCTTCGTCGTGTAAACCCAAATATAATTTGAAGCAACATAGCCAGGCACAGGATTCAAAACCATACTTATCATATTCTGGGATTGTGCAAACTCAGACAAAACAATTTTTTACTCTGGACTCATATTTCCTTGACCATCACTGCTCAGGCTTCTGTTTTTGTTCTACATTTTGCCAGTTTTCTTTGTTTTCCTTCATGTGTAAAAAGAAGATTGATTGACTGATGCCTTTATATCCTTCCTTTTCTCTGAAACTACAAGGTACCATGTTTTCCCCAAAATAAGACCTCCCCTGATAATAAGCCCAATCGGGCTTTTGAGCGCATGGCAATAAGGCCAAGCGCTTATTTCAGGATTCAAAAAAATATAAGACAGGGTCTTATTTTCGGGGAAACACGGTAGTTTGGGTGTCTATGCTAATTTCATCCCCACAATAGCTCTATTGGCATGGGTGTCAAACTCGCCATGTCACGTGACATTTTGTGACGGTTTTCCCAGGGGTAAAATGCACTTACCTTCGCTACCGGATCAGAAATGTGAGTGCGCACGCCTCTTTTGTGCTTGCGCAGAGGGTCAAAAACAGGATGTGATGATGTCCTGGTGGGTGGGCGGAGCCTCCCACCTCTGCCCCTACCGCCTCTTGCAAGCTGGATAGATCCGGCTGGATTTCATCACTGTTTTTTCCCCTTTGCGGAGCTGGGGTGGGCGTGGTCTGTGCAGGTTGACACCCCTGCTCTATGAAATGAGTTAGGTTGAGAGATAGCGATTACCCCAAAGGCATCCTGGGAGCTCTGAGATCTAGCAGCTAGTAATACATGGCTATCTGTAATCTTGGTTCAACAGGTTATCGATTTTACTTTATTGGCTTTGTATAAAATTAAACACCCATATAATCCATGTTGTCATCAAGACGATCATTGGAAAAGTTATAAATAAGTTGATTGAAAAATATTTCTGAAGTCAAAATATCTGGTTTATTAACAGGTCTTCACTACAGAGCTTCCTGGATATATATATTTTTTCTTTTTTCCCCCCATATAATTAAACCATTTCTAAACAAACTGCCATTCATTTAGGGCTTTGAATGGAATAATATTCTTGGAAACTATATAAATTGGGTTTTTTTGCTGCAACGGGATAACCAGAAATAAATCATGTAAATGCAATAGCAGAAGAATCAAAAATAGATTATGTAAATGCAGTACCAGAATAACAAAAATAAATTATGCAAATGCAATCGCTCCAAAACATTTCTATCCCTAAACCTAAGAATCTCTCAGTCATATAAAGTGGCTATTTCTATGCAAGTGAGTTTGAAGAAAGATAATATAATCTCTTAGCAGCTGAATGAATGACTCACCATAAGGAATGCCCAAGTAAAATAATGTTATATTCAAGTCTTCTTTTCTGTATTTTTCAATTTCCCAGCTTTTAAAAACTTCCCAGAAAGCCTTTGTCTCTCTTGATTATAAGTATTCCATGAATCCGTTGTATAATACTGCAGGCACATAAGTTGCTGCCTTCCTAGTTGATTCTCTATTCATGAGCTGTCCGCATGCATCTTACCAACTTAGTTCTCCTTCAGAGCATAAGTGTTCTGAAAATCAATCCATACATTTGTTACATGGAGGTTTGTGGTACCTTGGATATTTTTTTGCTGACATAACGGTACTTCTGGAATGTCCTTTCTTATCTAACAAGTCTACAAGAACTTTCCAAAGTTGTGGCTAATTTTTTTCCTTTAGTTTTTTTTTTCTCTCTTCAGTTAGCCTTATTTAGCCTTGCATTTCCTACTGTTGCCCAACACAAATTCAATACATTAACTTAAGTATAGGGGAAGGGAAGGGAAGGGTTCCCCTTGCACATATGTGCTAGTCGTTCCCGACTCTAGTGGGCGGTGCTTATCTCCGTTTCTAAGCCGAAGAGCCAGCACTGTCTGAAGATGTCTCTGTGGTCATGTGGCCGGCATGACTAAACGCCAAAGGCGCATGGAACGCTGTTACCTCCCCACCAAAGGTGGTCCCTATTTTTCTACTCGCATTTTTTATGTGCTTTCTAACTGCTAGGTTGGCAGAAGCTGGGACAAGTAACGGGAGCTCACCCCATTACGTGGCACTAGGGATTCGAACTGCTGAACTGCCGACCTTTCGATCGACAAGCTCAGCATCTTAGCCACTGAGCCACCGCGTCCCTATAAGCATAATAAACACATAACAATGATTTTTCATCCCAATCTCTGTGAATCACACATAAAGGTATTGCATCTGTGCAGAAACCGCGTCAGAATAATTTCTAGCTGAGTCTTTGGCCAGCAGCCTATTCCATAGGTTCTCTTTCCACTCACTTCCTTTTCACTTCCTGCAAGCATTTGCGCCGTTTGGAATCAGAAGTAGCTGAATTTCTCTTCTCGTCTTTTTTCTTCTTTTCAGCATCTTCCATTCCTCTTTTGTAGTCTACTTTTCTGCCCTGGAGATTCAGTTGGCTGTGACAATGCCTCTCCATCAATTGTGTCTAGTAGCTATTAATGTTTTCTTTGGAAAAATAGTTTCCTGGTTCCTTCACCTTCCTGCTAATAAAGAAGATCGGACGCTGGTGTTCCACAATGAGTTAGTTTGCTTCTCAAAACAAATCAACCCGGCAAATACATAAGTGATTATACTTTATTCACTTTATTGCAAGTTCTGTAGCTTTATACAGAGAAACCTGAGATCTCTTCCAGAAAGTCTGAAAAAGTATTAAAGATCTTCCCTTTAATAAGGAATGATACTCTAGGTCCATGATGGTGAATCTATGGCACGCATGCCACAGGTGGCACACGTAGCCATATCAGTGGGCATGCCAGCTCAGCTCCGGAGTGCATGTGTGCACCGGCCAGCTGATTTTTGGGCCCTCTGGGCCCACCAAAAGTATGGAAACAGGCTGTTTCCTGTCTCCGGAGGGCCTGGGGGGGGGAGCCCCGTTTTTCTTTCTCACCTGGCTCCAGATCCTCTCTATGCATCTGGGGAGGGTGAAAACAGTCTTCCCCACCCCCTTGGAGGCGGCCCATTTCCCAACTCCTGGTTGGACAGGAAGTGATGTTTTTTGCTGTCCCCAGCCTCCAGAACCTCACCCTGCACCCGCAGGGCGGGGTGCATAGAATTATGGGTGTGGGCACACACACGCGCGAACCTCCCTCACCCCCCACCCTTCTGGCACGCGATGGCAAAAAGGTTAGCCATCACTGCTCTAGGTTATGCAAAATATGAAGATAATGGCTTCCTGCATGGAAAAGTACCATAGATTTCTCAATCAGTATCCAAGATGCTGATCTTTGTCCAGATTCAGTCCGGTATTCAGCCGGTTCAGACCAGTTCAGGCGAACCAGTAGCAGAAATTTTAACTGGTTCGCCGAATCGGGAAATACCACCTCTGGCTGGCCCCGCGCCTGGTCACTGCTTGCATCGCCCAACCCCACCCCGTGCTATATATGTTGCCTTCACCAAGCAGTCCAGCTAATCGCCTCGCCTCTGCACCTCGCCTGCTCTGCTCACCAAAGGTAAGCATGTCTCCTGCTCACCCTTTGCCTTGGGTTGGACTTGGGGCCCAGGGATACACCATTCCCCGAGGCCCTGGAGCCTTCGCCCGCTCGCTGTTCGTCTTGGCCAGGTCGGGGAATGTGCCATTCCCCAGTTATGGCCTTCCTCTGGGCCTCCATCCGCTTGCCCTCTGCCTCGCTCACGTTTGTCTGCGCCTTGGTGGGGGTACTTCGATGCAGGGGGGATGGGGGACCATATAGGGACAGGCTACAGGAGCTGCCTTTTCTGCCAGTTCTGTGAGCGTGGCTTGGTGGGGTGATGTTGCCTTGGCCATGCCCACTCAGTCACATGACTTCCACCAAGCCACGCCCACAGAACCGGTAGTAAAAATTTTTGAATCCCACCACTGTCTTTGTCCCGATGTTTCTGTACTAGCAGAAGTTTTTCATTTTTTAATTTATCTATATGACAGGCTATACTGCTGGATTTCATAATCATCCTTTGAAACAGGGCAAGTACAATAAAGAAATGTGAGGTTTATATCAAAACAGTGCTCACAATCTCCCAGTTTCCAGCCTGATGCCTTAACTACTATGCAAAACTGATTCTCTGAGATACTCTTAGGATAGGATAAAAACATAATTTAATTAATAAAGTATATATCTATTGTTTGATGTCATCATTGCCTGATATATTTCTTCATTAATCTCCTTTCCCACTTATTTGTGTTTATTGATGAGAAATGTGAATTACAGGCATTTTAGAAACTATAGACGGATGACTCATTTGACATATAAAGAGAAATGTCAAATAGCTACTGGGTTTAACTGATAAAAAAAGACTTGTTCCCTTAGATGATGGCTTCTGTTTGGTTTTCTTGGCTGCTAGATTTTGCTAGGGACATATTGAATATCATTATTATTATTATTATTATTATTATTATTATTATTATTATTATTATTTTGACCTTTCTGCTTTAACACAACTGATTTGACCAAAAATCTCATAAATTGTCTGCACTTTTTCCTTTCTAGCAAAGCCAGAACTCTTTTTGAAAAGAATGCAGCCCCAATTCTCCATTTATCTGGTCTGGATGTGACTGTGGTGAAGGTAAAAACTAAAAAGAGTTTTTCAGTGTCTTTTTCCGGCAAAAAAAAAAAATCCTTCTTTTGGTATATTTCAGCCACAACCCAGTTTTTCCTAGGGGAAAAAAGAAAATAAACCCTAGTTGATAATTGCTATTTTTTAAAAAATAAAATAAAATAAACCATATCTTTTTTTTAAGGAAAAAGCTACATCTTTAATTATTAATTAAAGTATCTGAAGGACAGAGAGAATCAGGGGTGGGCTTCAAAAAATTTAGCAAGGGATTCTCTGTCTGGTTGCTGGGTGGGCGTGTCCATGGTGGGTGTGTCCTAGTCAGCCTCCTGCACCCAGTGGGGGGTGTTTTTGCCCTCCCCAGGCTCCGGAGGCTTTCCTCAAGCTTCCGGGAGGGCAAAAATGGCCTCCCCAGGCTCCGGAGGCCCTTTGGAGGCCAGAAACAGGCCCATTTCTGGCCTTCCCAAATTTCCGGTAGGCCCGTTTTTTGCCCGCCCCAAGCCTCTGTGCTGCACTTACCTGCATCCAAAATGGTCCGTGTGGGGACTCCTGGGAGGGGCGAGGTGGGGTGGGCAGGGCCAGCCAGGAGTGGGATTTGGGAGTTCTCCGAACTGCACAGAATCTTAGCTAGAGGTTCTCCCGAACCCCTGCGAACCCCCAGCAGCCCACCCCTGGATATAATATAGTATTTTGGAGTATCAGCTATTTAATCCCAGTATGCAGGCAGAAGAGTTGGTAATTCTGCTTTAAGAAGCAGAATATAAAAAAACCCCAAAACTGCTACGAAGTATTTGAGATTGGTTTTAAGAATGGTATTTTGCCTCTTTCAGAATATATTCATTTGGAAGGTTTGAGTTTGGTGATGAAGTTGTTAAAAATGAATGGAAGGGGAAACTTGCAATTGTTAAGCTGTGCTGAGCTAGTATTGTAAAGGTTATATGAAGAATATATTGCGTGGCTTTTCATTTGAAGCCAAAGAGTGCTAAATGCAATGTTTCTGTGACCTTCCTTGCAACTCAGACAGATTATGAAGGGCAAGCAAAGAAGTTGTTGGAACTGATGGAAAACACCGATATGATCATCATTGCAGGGGGAGATGGAACAGTGCAAGAGGTACTGTAAGAATTTATTTACCCATCTTTTCTCCAGCACCTAATCTATATTGAAAATTTTTGATTATGGAAGTTCTGGGTTATTGTAAACTTTTGAGTTATCAACTAGAAGAGATTATCTGTTTGCTAAATCTGCAGATTATCTCAACCTATGGGCTCACATATACAAGACATCTTCAGATATGTGTGTGTGCATATTTGTGTTTAAAATAAGTATTTCTCCCTTCCTTCCTTCCTTCCTTCCTTCCTTCCTTCCTTCCTTCCTTCCTTCCTTCCTTCCTTCCTTCCTTCTTTCCTTCCTTCCTTCCTTCCTTCCTTCCTTCTTTCTTTCTTTCTTTCTTTCTTTCTTTCTTTCTTTCTTTCTTTCTTTCTTTCTTTCTTTCTTTCTTTCTTTCTTTCTTTCTTTCAGGTTATAACTGGGCTCCTCCGAAGAGCAGATGAGGTAAGGTATATTTTTCTAAGGCAAACTTAATTTCAGCACAATCTAGTTTTGTTTGGTGCTTAAATGTTCTTGAAGCTATATGGTAGAGGAGATACATATTCTTCGTGCTATCTTTCCCAGCCACTTGGAAAACATATTTTGCCCTTTCTCCTATTTCTGTGATGATACTAGATTATACATCACCACTGCTTAAGAACTTCCTCCACCTATTCCTTTTTTTTGTTTAGTGGGATGGCATTGAAGTATTTCTCATAAATGCTCACTCATTTTTTCAACTTTACCTTGTATAATAAAAGTGTCACAGTGTTATTTCCTGTAGCCCAAAATTATTCTGCGCAATAGTATTCTGGAAATGCAAGTCTTAGTCCCAGGTAACGTCCTGCCTAATTAACTCCCAGGTCAGAAAGACAAGAAACCCAGACTTCCCCGTTGTGAGGTAGGAGAAGAAAATCAATTGAGGAAGGGGACTGTAGTAGAGAATTTAATAATAGAAAAGTGTGTAGGCAGAAATGATGGAAAACCATAATGAAATAAATTAGATTTTTGAGAAATGGTGCCGCAAGCTGCAGTAATCTGCAGAGATCCAGGATACTGTGGTTACATGGTCATTAAACTTGATTTGCTACAATTCTTCAAAGAGCACAGCTTATGATACTATAAGGATGCCTGTGGGTGCTCCATTACTGTGGCTTTTACTGTATCTTACCGAGTGTGATTTCTAGCCAACAGTTAATGGCAGCCAGTACAGGTAGTCCTTGATTTACAACAGCTCGTTTAGTGACCGTTCAAAGTTACAACAGCACTGAAAAAAGGAACTTAGTTGCAGCATCTCACGGTCACATGATTAAAATATAGATGCTTGACAACTGACTCATATTTATGAGTCAGTTGTCAAGTTGTCAAGGCTCAAGGTTGATTCAGCCTTCCATCCTTTCTAAGGTAGGTAAAATGAGGACCCAGTTTGTGGAGGCAATAAGCTGACTTTGTATAAAATATACAAAAGTATGAAGGCTATTGCTTAATGCACTGTAAGCCGCCCTGAGTCTCCGGAGAAGGGCGGCATATAAATTAAATCAAACTAAAAAAAAAATGCCTATATAGTATATATAGCAAATGCCTTAACCCTGCATAGTAAAAACAACAAAAAAGCTGAAACTCAGTTCCCTAATCATAAATGAGCTCTTACCTTGTATGTAGCTTGTGTTTGCTTCTCCTGACACTGATTTCAGGGGTGAAATGCTCCTGGTTCGGACCAGATCACCTGATCTGGTAGCGATGGAGGCGGGTGGTTCGGAGAACCGGTAGCAAAAATCCCTGCCCCCCCCCATGCCCAGCTGAGCCGCGCGATCATCAGAGGCTTTTTTCTTTTAAATGCCTCTGACGAGCCAAGCTGAGTTGCCTGATGGCTAGAGACTTTTTAAAAACCCTCTGACGATCAGGCAACTCAAATGGGATCGTCAGAACCTTTTGAAAGCATTTTTCAAAAAATTGCCGAGAGGTTGTAGAAAAATATTTTTAATTCTTTCTTTCTTTCTTTCTTTCTTTCTTTCTTTCTTTCTTTCTTTCTTTCTTTCTTTCTTTCTTTCTTTCTTTCTTTCTTTTCAGGTTATAACTGGGCTCCTCCGAAGAGCAGATGAGGTAAGGTATATTTTTCTAAGGCAAACTTAATTTCAGCACAATCTAGTTTTGTTTGGTGCTTAAATGTTCTTGAAGCTATATGGTAGAGGAGATACATATTCTTCGTGCTATCTTCTCCCAGCCACTTGGAAAACATATTTTGCCCTTTCTCCTATTTCTGTGATGATACTAGATTATACATCACCACTGCTTAAGAACTTCCTCCACCTATTCCTTTTTTTTGTTTAGTGGGATGGCATTGAAGTATTTCTCATAAATGCTCACTCATTTTTTCAACTTTACCTTGTATAATAAAAGTGTCACAGTGTTATTTCCTGTAGCCCAAAATTATTCTGCGCAATAGTATTCTGGAAATGCAAGTCTTAGTCCCAGGTAACGTCCTGCCTAATTAACTCCCAGGTCAGAAAGACAAGAAACCCAGACTTCCCCGTTGTGAGGTAGGAGAAGAAAATCAATTGAGGAAGGGGACTGTAGTAGAGAATTTAATAATAGAAAAGTGTGTAGGCAGAAATGATGGAAAACCATAATGAAATAAATTAGATTTTTGAGAAATGGTGCCGCAAGCTGCAGTAATCTGCAGAGATCCAGGATACTGTGGTTACATGGTCATTAAACTTGATTTGCTACAATTCTTCAAAGAGCACAGCTTATGATACTATAAGGATGCCTGTGGGTGCTCCATTACTGTGGCTTTTACTGTATCTTACCGAGTGTGATTTCTAGCCAACAGTTAATGGCAGCCAGTACAGGTAGTCCTTGATTTACAACAGCTCGTTTAGTGACCGTTCAAAGTTACAACAGCACTGAAAAAAGGAACTTAGTTGCAGCATCTCACGGTCACATGATTAAAATATAGATGCTTGACAACTGACTCATATTTATGAGTCAGTTGTCAAGTTGTCAAGGCTCAAGGTTGATTCAGCCTTCCATCCTTTCTAAGGTAGGTAAAATGAGGACCCAGTTTGTGGGGGCAATAAGCTGACTTTGTATAAAATAAAAGTATGAAGGCTATTGCTTAACACATTGTAAGCCGCCCTGAGTCTCCGGAGAAGGGCTCCTGGGGGTTCGGCAGGGTTCGGGCGATCCTCTAGCCAAGGATTGCCAGGGTTCGGCAAACTCCCAAATGCCACCCCTGGCTGGCTACGCCCACCCCGCCGCATCCAGGAGTCTTTACGTAGCCCGTTCATCATTCCAGATAAGTGCAGGGGCCACGCAGAGGGTCTGGTAGGGCAAAAACCGGGCCTATTGGAGGTTCTGGAAGTTCAGAAACGGGACTGTTTCCAGGGCTGTTTCCAGACAAGAAAAGTCATAAAATGGGGCAAAACTCACTTAACAAGCTGTTTTCACCCTTCCAGAGGCTCGAGAAAAGCCTCCAGAGCCTGGGGAGTGTGAAAAACTGGCCTCCCAGAAGTTCTGGAAGGCCTCCAGACCCCGGGGGAAGCAGTTTTCGCCCTTCCAGAGGCTCGAGGAAAGCCTCCGGAGCCTGGGGAGTGCAAAAAACTGTCCTCCCGGAAGTTCCGGAAGGCCTCCAAACCCTGGGGGAAGCAGTTTTCGCCCTCCCGGAGGCTTGAGGAAAGTCTCCGGAGCCTGGGGAGGGCAAAAAACGCCCCCTTTCCCACCGTGGTGCAGGCGGCCGACTAGGCCACGCCCACCATAGCCACACCCACCCAACAACGGGGCAGCAAACCCGTTGCTAAAGGATCTGAAGTCCACCCCTGGCTGTAGTGTCCCAGAGTCATATGATCCCGTTTTGCAACCTTCTGACAAGCAAAGACAATATTCACTTAACCACCGTGTTACCCGACTTCACAACTGCAGTGATCGACTTAACAAACGTGGCAAGAAAAGTCGTAAAAAAAGGGCAAAACTCACTTAACGAATTTCTCACTCGGCAACATAAATGTTGGGCTCAATTGTGAGATCTACCTGTATATCCAGGACCGCATTTGAAACTTCAAATTCTAAGCCACCATTCATCATGTGATTTCCCACCCACCCCCATTTTTTTAATCAAATCACTCCTGTATCCATTCTGTGTCCCCTTCTGTTCTTTCCCTCTAATCCAGTTGGCAGAGATAAAGATCCATTTGCAAATCTGTGTGTTTAAAAAGAGTTGGTTAATTGTGTATTCATGTTCAACCAGCTTGATTGCCAGGGCGCTGCTGAACTTTCTTTTTTACTGGGAAAGATGCTTTGAATTACAGTGTTTATTTTTGTCTCTACTTTGCTTGGAGACCAACAAGGCCTAAATGTTTCCTCTATGCCCCAGATGCTACCTTCCCCTTTATTATCGATAGCTGGTTCCCTAATGGAATCATATGTTGTTTAGGGCATGTGTGCCAGCTTTTTGTAACAATGTGCCTAATGATTACCAAAGCCTGCTTTGGAACCAGTTGACACTTGGAGGGCTGTCATAATAATCTATTATTCCGAGCTGTTCTTTGCCACGGTCTCTCAGGAAGTGCCTGCCTGTTGCATTCCATGGAGAATAGGTGGAAGAGGGTAGGATGATATTAAGCAAAATTGTGCTTCGTGAAAAAGTGAGTTGAATTCAGTTGACGGGACTTGTTTTGTTCTTGTTCCCAGGCAGCTTTCAGTAAAATTCCCATTGGATTCATTCCTCTTGGAAAGACCAGCACTTTAAGTCATACACTTTATACTAAGAACGATAACCAAGTCCAGTAAGTATGAATTCATGGTAAACATCGATGGAAAACCCATTTACTTTTTCATTACTTTTAAAACAGCATGTTTCATTTTTAATCTATTTGTATTTCGACCTTCCTTTAAAAAGAGTTTTGCATGATATGGACCCTGTTGCTTTTCTAGCAATATTATGAAATCTGTTGTTCTGAAAGAGTGCCTATCTATTCCTTAATGAAGATACAAATCTCCATCTGACAGCTTAAAACCTATTATGAAGATCATACTAAGACATAGTATGTTTTATTTGCTTTTGGCTTGGTGGTTTGGCTTGGCTTTTGTTTTACAAAACCAATCCCCCCCCCACCCTTTCGATCTCTCTGATCCCAGCTTGGTGACCTTGCTGAAGCCCCTCTCAAGTTAATAGCAATAGCACTTAAGACTTATATACCGCTTCACAGTGCTTTACATCTCTCTCTAAGCAGTTTACAGAGTCAGCATATTACCCAATGGTGAAATCCAAATTGTTTTATTACTGGTTCTGTAGGAATGGCTTGGTGGGTGTGGTGTGGCTTGATGGGTGTGGCCGGGGCAGGATACTGCAAAATCTCCATTCCCACCCCACTCCAGGGGAAGGATACTGCAAAATCCCCATTCCCTCCCCACCAGACAGTTATAGAGGTGCAGATAACAGACTCAATAATTCCTCTGTAGAATGGCCTTCCCTGTGTGTTGATTCTGGGGTTGTCCTTGGTTTTCTGAGTTCCGGGAAATAAGATGTCATTGAAGATGCCTAGGGAAACAATAGCGCATTAAGTCCAGTTAGACTCAAGAAAGAAGCAGTCTCCAGTTCTCAGTCCTTTCAAACATTCCAGAATGATAACTGCAGTTGAAGGTGTATTCAAGGTCACCAAAATACCTTGCAAAACTAGAAAGCTTGCACTTCCTATATATAATGGTAGAGTTAAATTTCAAGACCTTTATTTGTTTGCTTGTTTGTTTGTTCAAATTTATTAGCAGGCCATTCTAGAAGATACTAGAAGAGATACTAGAAGATAGTTAGAAGATGCTGATTATATCAGGCTAGGCTGACACTCACTTGATCCCAAGGCCATCAACACTGATCAGTAACAATCTTTTGAGCATAACACTTTCCCAATTCTGCTATGAAAGATGTTTTAATTGGTGATGGATTTTACTACTGTATGTGTAAGGACTACATACTGTTGCTTGACTTTTACCTTATTCTCTTATTTTTTTCCCTAAGGTGTATCACTGATGCCACGTTGTCCATCCTGAGAGGAGAGACAGTTCAACTTGATGTATTGCAGATTAAGGTAGCAATATTTCATTTGTAAATGTTGTATTTGGGAAAATTATTTTTGTTTCTACACCTGCACGTTCTTATTTTGGGTTGTATGCCATTCTGATTATTTATTTTGATAGAGACAGTTAATCTGAAATAGCTTGTTTAAAGTCTACACTATACAATAGTGTAGCAAATATACAATATATAGCAAAAGAATTGTTAAGGCATGCTTAAAATACTATTATAATACAAATAATATTACATATATCAGGGGTGTCAAACTCAATTTCATTGAGGGGAGCATCAGGATTGTGGTTGACCTTGGGCTGGGGTGGGCATGGCAAGAGTGGGCGTGGCCAGGTCAACATCACTTGTGTCGGGCGACACCTGGGGTGGCCTGGGCGGGGCTGGGGGGGGATCCATTGTCTCCAGTGGAGGAAAGCAGGGCGAGCACCAAACCCTTGTACACCAGAGGAGCCTTGCTGTCCATCTCAGGCCATGCAGAGGACCCCCGGATGGCAGTGCGGGCCAGTCAGAGGTGGGCTGCTGCCGGTTCAGACTTGTTCAGGTGAACCAGTAGTTCCGACCAGCGGCTGGGCCTGCCCACTCGCCCCGGTGCTATCCCGTCTTATATAGTTGCCATGTTTTTGAAGCCGCACTCATATTTTCAGTGCTGGGCGAACCGGTTGTTACATTATGTGACGCCCAGTCCTTTGGGGCCAGTCCTTCGCTGTTTCCAGGGCAGCTCCGTGGGCCAGATCTAACCATATCACGGGCCGGATGCAGCCCACGTGGATGTTGAGTTTGACACCCCTGACATATATGAAATGCAGTTGCATTCACATAGGTAACACAAGGTATTTGCTTTGTTATTTAGCTAGGCAATTCTGCTTTTAATTTTGTAGTTGTTGGTGCAGCTGCAATTGTTGGTAAGATTGTCCACTGCCAAAGCATACAATTGATTTCATTCTGTGAAGGCATATCTTCTGGTTATCTATTTTTTGGCTTACCTGCTTTCATACAGTGAAAATAGTAGCCTGAGAGGGAAGGGAAGGAACAGGAGGAAGAAGAGGAAGAAAATCCTTTTATTTCAGCAAGGCACATCAAGCAAAACTGCTTAATAATCTCTGCTGCTTTTTAGCTGACAAAATGAAATGGGTTGAAACGATGGAGCTAAACTCCATTTGCATTAATTTATTATAATTTAATAATTCTATTCTGTGGACCTGCCATGGTAACATACGATGGTCAGTATTTTTAATGTGTATTTTTAACCTACAGCCATACACATTTATTCTGTTGATGCTGCTATTACTAGATTAATGTAATGTAAAGGTTTGGCTTCCTCTGTATAAAACAAGATTTCTGTTTTTGCGTTTTCCTTTATGGAAAGGGGAACAAAGAACAGCCAGTATTTGCTGTGAGTGGCTTACGGTGGGGCTCTTACAGAGATGCAGGAGCAAAAGTCAGCAAGTAAGTAAATATTTTGCTCTAACTTGTATTTATGTCTATCTTTTCTCCTGTATGTTATTTCCATTGAGGCATTGTTCCAAAGTCATTATTGCCAATGTATTCTAGCTCCAGTAGCCTGAAGATTTCTGTTCCCTCTGGTTCCCATTCCATACATTTCTTGGCTATCATTCTGCAGCTCTGATGATTAATTCCTCATTCTCAAGGCACTGCTCTTCTCCCTCTTGAGAAAGAGATTGAGTCATGGTATTTTACCAAGCGCCTCCCTAATTGTTAGAAAGTTACTTGACCTGGACTGCATGAAACGGATTTGTGGTTTCTACATAGTGGCCCTCTATTTATAATCTGTAATCACAAAACCATCTGCTATCGATTGATCATCCATGTCATCTGGATAATATCTACTTTTGAACCAGGCAGGATTGATAATGATATATAGTCATCCATACAATACAGGAGTATAGTCTCAAAGGTAACTGGATTTTCTTGTTTTTTTTCTTTGAAGACGTTTTGCTTCTCATCCAGGAAGCTTCTCCAGTTCTGATAGGATAGTGGGGAATAGAAGGATTTATATTCCTTGCAGACAGCTGGTCATTTGCATCCTTTTAGAGGGTCGTTGAAGCACTTGGAGGTTTAGCTGTGTCCTCAGATTCACCTGAATAGTTCTCTTGGTTCCTGTAGTCTGCAGTTTTTCCTCTGGAAATCCATTCCTGCTCCCACACCATTCAAAGGGTGTCCATCCCAAAGTGCATGGCTAAAAGTCTATGGAGATTCTCAGTCATCCAGGTCATGGTTATCCCAAAGGTTTCAAGAGGCAGCTGGACTTTCTTGTTTTTTCTTTTTTCTTTCTTTTTTTTTTCCAAACAAGAAAGTCCAGTTGCCTCCTGAAAAAGCACCTTTGGGACAACCATGACCTGGATGATTGAGAATCTCTATAGACTTATAGGAGTATAGTATTATAAGTGAGGAGCTATAGGTGTCACATGAAAACTCTCTATATAGAGTTCTACATTTATGAACAGGAATGGTTACCTCTCTCCCAGGACTGAGATGTACAGCTCACTATTGTTTTTCTCTTAAGTGCTCTCTGAAGAACTAGGTTTTTCCTCTCTAGTGAGCTATCAATTCCTGACAAATAGATGGGGAAGGAATGGAGGTAGTGACAGATTTTATTTTCCTGGGCTCCAAGATCACCACAGATGGGGACTACAGCCAAGAAATTAAAAGATGCTTGCTCCTGGGGAGGAAAGCCATGGCAAATCTAGATAGCTTACTAAAAAGCAGAGATATCACTCTGCCAACAAAAGTGCATATAGTCAAGGCTATGGTTTTCCCAGTTGCAATGTATGGCTGTGAAAGTTGGACCATAAGGAAGAATTGAGGCCTTTGAACTATGGTGCTGGAGAAGACTCCTGCGAGTCCCTTGGACTGCAAAGCGATCAAACCGGTCCTAGAGGAGATCAACCCTGACTGCCCTTTAGAAGGTCAGATCCTGAAGATGAAACTCAAATACTTTGGCCACCTAATGAGAAGAAAGGACTCACTAATGCTGTGAAAGATTGAGGGCAAAAGAAGAAGGGGATGACAGAAAATGAGGTGGCTGGATGGAGTCACTGAAGCAATCGGCGTGAGCTTAAATGGACTCCGGGGGATGGTAGAGGACAGGAAGGCCTGGAGGAATGTTGTCCATGGGGTTGTTGATTTGTGGTAGATGTGGAATGGGACACAATAGGCTGCTTTTAAAATAGATATAAAGACATTGTATGTAGACTGATTGTGTGAATCTTTTGAGAGACAGATACAAGCTATAGTTTTTGTTCTATTTTAATAGACTTTTTTTCCCTGTTAAGTCTTTTTTCTCTTAATTTTTAAACTTTGCCAAAGCTGATTAAAGTTTTAAGATTCTAAGCCGCATAAATATGAACATGCTTTGTATGGAAGAATGCTCTGGCTTCTGCAGCAGGAAGTCACCAGCTCAATACACTTGTTTAGTAAGAAGTTAAAAGCGGGATAGAAAAACCTCATTCTGTACAAGTAATATAGAAATGGCAACATGCCAGTATTTTCTCAACCTTGGCAACTTTTAAGATCTGTGGATTTCAACTCCCAGAATTCCCCAGCCAGCACAGCTGACGGGAGAATTCTGGGAATTGAAGTTCGCAAATCTTAAAAGTCACCAAGGTGGAGAAACACTGCAGTATGCAATTAAGTACTGTAGTTCAGTGGACTAGACTGGGAATGACATGTTAGACTACTACATTCAGATGACCTCTAGATAAGCTAGATTTTACCAAGCCACATCTGCATTAGCATGAAGCCAGGGCCAATTGCACTCTTCTTTTTATTGTCTTTTTATTGTCTATCACGTACAAGTATAAAACTGTAACAAATGCTTTTGATTAAAAAAATATATTAAAAATGCTAATTGCTTTCCTTAGATTTCAATTTTGCTTTTTTGTTTTGTTTTGTTATGTTCCAGATACTGGTATTTGGGACCTCTGAAAATCCAGGCAGCCCATTTTTTTAACACATTAAAGGTAATTATTATCAATCACTCAATATTATTTCATTGCTAGAAACTAAAAAAAGAATCATCTTTCTGTACATCTAGTCGTCTGTCATGCACTGCTCTGCTAAATGATAACAGCTATGGATAACCAGACATTTGTTCTCCTCTCCCTTCCTCCCACCAGCCCTTAGAAGCAGATATTTAACACAAACTCTGTGATTCAGGAAACAGTTACAGGTATCCCAAAGGTACTTTTTCAAGAGGCAACTGGACTTCCTTGTTTTTCTTTGAAGATGTTTTGCTTCTCATCCAAGAAGCTTCTTCAGCTCTGACTGAATGGTGTGGGAATGGATGGCCTTATATTCCGTGTAGAGTATAAATTTATAAAATAAATATAAAATAAATTTATAAATATATAAAATACATACTCCTTGCAGAGCTGTCTGCAAGGAGTATAAATCCTTCCATTCCCCACCATCCAGTCAGAGCTGAAGAAGCTTCTTGGATGAGAAGTGAAACGTCTTCAAAGAAAAACAAGAAAGTTCAGTTGCCTCCTAAAAAAAACACCTTTGGGACAACTATGGCCTGAATGTCTGAGAATTTCCATAGACAGTTACAGGTATCAGTACTAGTAACCCTCAATAACCTTCATTGTTGAAAGTGGTAGTGATGGTATGCAACAGATAACTGCATTGTGGAACTGATGGTATTGTTGTGGCTCTGTTACCTGAGCCTGTGTCATCGGCAGAAGAGGACTCCAAGAGTGAAGGAGAGGAGTTGGCAAGGCCTCCCTCTCCAGGACCCTCCTCTCTGGCAATGCCTTCGGTGCCCGCCGAAGGGCAAGAGATAGGGCTGGGGCCAAGCACGTCCACGCAGCCACAGATGGACAGTGATGAGGGTAATGAGTCTTGGCTGGATCCACGCCAGCGTCGCAGAGATAAGTGCACGCAACAGAAGAAAAGGCGTGCCCGAGATTAGGCTGAGTCACTGGACCACACCCCACAGGATATAAAAGGGAGCGTGGTAGCCAGTCAAACCTTGTGATGAACAAAGCTGAAAGCTTCCACGCCATTCTGCATTGCCGGACTTTTTGCTATAGACTTTGCTGGATTATCTCTGGACTTGATTGACTCTGTAATTATTGAGCTGTTTCTTTTGATGTACCAGGAGTGGGGAGAAGTTATCTCTCCTCTTCGTAAATAATAAACTCTTGGCAGGCAGCCACTAGGTTGTTGCCAAGTTCCGTTATCATAAGGAAAAGGATTTTGCCGGCTGGTTTGGTCTATAACTCTTGAACGTCTGTTGGTGTGTGCGCGTGTGGTTGGGGACAGAACAGGTATCAGCTTCCATAGTGCAGTTATCTAGCATATAAAGAAGTACTTCCTTGTCCTGAATCTTCCCATATGTAAATTCACTGAATGATTTAAGGCTCTAATATTACATGTAGATCAGGGGTGTCAAACTCAAGGCCCGCGGGCCGAATCCAGCCCACAGGGTGCTTAGATCTGGCCCACGGGCCCGCCCTGGAAACACTGAAGAACTGGCCCGCGGTGCCTCTGCCAGCAAAACTAGAGGCTCCGTTTTCAGCCACAACAGCCTCCAGCCCTCTTCCAGCAAAAAAGGAACTCAGGAAGGCCGCATGCAGCCTGCCCGGGCTCCGTTTTCAGCCGCGATGGCTTCCCCGAGCTCCATTTTTGCTGCAGAGGGTTGCAGGAGGCCATCACTGCTGAAAACAGAGCCTCGATGAGTGACATCGAGATGGCCACACACCCCTGGCCATGCCCCTCCCCCCCCGAGGCCAAATTACCCTGATGCGGGCCTCAATGAAATCAAATTTAACATCCCTGATGTAGATTAATGTTATAATAAATATTTGCATGCATACACCATACACAGCCCCCTTTGTGAAGGAGTTGTGTGTTTTCCAAATTTGAGAGAGGGAGGGAAGAATACTGTAAGGTTCCAGATTCAGTCTCAGCATCTCTCATGAGAAGGATTTTTTTTTTTTTCCGCTGATCATTGATAACAGTTCTGAGACTTAGTTCTCCATGACCTTACTTGTTAGAAAGCAGCTTCTTATATTTGTGCATGCCACACGATCCTACTTGGATTGTTTGTGACAGTATAATTTTAGGTACTTTAAACGGATCCAAAGCTGCTCCTCAAGATGGAACTGATGTGAAGTCATTTGATATATATTTTGCCAAGCAGGTGGTGGCAAAAACAAAGACCTTTTATAAAACAAAATCAGGGAATGCAGCTAAAAAAAATATATTGCTGCACTATGAATAAAATAAGCAAAGAGAAATCAGCAAAGGGATGCTGGGATGCAGCAAGATCCATTAAAATCTACTGTACTCTGCTGTCTTCCTCTAGTGCAGTTCTCTCTTGGGGCTTTTGTTATGCTAATGATTCACCCTATTCACTTGATGTAAGTGGTGCCTATAAATAGAGCTTAGAGGACGGTTGATAATTCGTCTCTTACAGCCAGCCAGTCACAGATTGAGCAGAAGGGTTAATTGCCATCGTTTTAAAGTTCTCAAATATTGAATGATTATAATGTAAAGGAGACACATATTTTTTCTGTTAAGGCATGTAATTTTTTTACCTAGGTTCCATGGTTTTAGCAGTACATGTGGTTTATTAAAAAGGTAGCCATAGTCACACAGTCCATTTTACTATTTGAACTCCTGTGTAACTTTTGCTGTTTCATATTCTGCTTTCTCTGGCGGGGGGGAATGATGCTGTGTTTAAAGACTGGATGTTCTTGTTTTTCCTTGTGAAACATGATAGGGCTTATGACTGACCTATGCATTCAGCAGGAAAGGACCTGAATAATTCAGTTGCAAATAGCTGTCAAGGGCAGAAACGGAAAATGGGATGGTTAATGTTTCCTTCCCCACCACTCGTCTCAAGACCTTATTCCCTAAATGAGAATAGCAAAGCAATAGCACTTAGACTTATATACCATTTCATAGTGCTTTATAGCTCTCTCTAAGCGGTTTACAGAGTCAAGATATTGCTCCCAACAATCTGGGTCTTCATTTTACCCACCTCGGAAGGATGGAAGGCTGAGTCAACCTTGAGCCATTCAGAATCGAACTCCTGGAATGAGCAGCGAGTTAACTTGCAGTACTGCATTCTTTTTTTTTTTATTTGAGTTTTATTGGGTTTTAACAATTAAACAATTCTTATTCAACTCTTGGGCATGACTGTGACCATTTACATATCATCACACTAATGTTCTCCTATACGCTATATAATTTTACAAAATCTACTATCTGTTATTTCCCTTTTTTTCTATCTTCAATCCAATTATACCATTTCTCCCATATTATGTAAAAGTCCGAATCTATCAGTCCTTTCAGTTCCAATGTCATTTTATCCATCTCGGCGCAATCTAATACCTTTCTAATTATTAAATCATCGGAGGGTATGTTTGAACTTGCAGTACTGCATTCTAACCACTGTGCCACCACAGTTCTATATGGAGAATGGAGGGCAGCTAATGGAATAATTGAATGGAGAAAGTAGCTTTTTTCCTATCCGTGATTTCCTACCTTGCTGTTACTTCTTTGCACCTGTTTTGTGGCCATCGGGTTTTTTCAGTCTGTGTTGGAATACACATACGCTTTCATTTTTTAATTTTTTTATTTATAGAAAGACAAAAATTTCAATGTCTATATAAACAGTGTGTTGTCTGGGTATAGTTATTTTGAGTAATAATCATAACAATAACATAACATTAGTAGTCATCATATAGTAACAATGATGTCTCATCATTACATTGCTAATAAACATATAGTGACAATAGTGCTTACTTATCCATTTAGTAAATCATTTTTACAAAATTAGTCATTCTCATATATATTTTTTAAAATCTAACTTCTGTTTCTGCTTGCTAACCATAGATAGAAGGAGTCCCATATTTAGAAATATTCAGTGTCTTCCCTGTCTTTAATTGTAAGTGTTAATCTGTCCATTTCTGCACATTCTAGTATTTTTTTTTATTACATTCTCTTCTGTAGGGATCTCTATGCTCTTCCAGTGTTGTACAAAATACAATTCTAGCTGCTGTTAACACATGTAGTATTAAGTACATATTCCCTTTATTATATTTTTCTGGTATGATATGCAACAGAAATATTTTTGGTTTTAAGTCTATGAAATACATATACATTTTCATACTATGTTAATACTGATGCTTTTCTTCCTTTTTGCCAAATTCCAAGGAATGGCCTCAGAAACATCTAGCTTCCCTTACCTATTTGGGCCCTATTCCAAGGCCACCTGAGGAGCCAGAGCAGAAGGCAACTCGACCTCCATTATATATTAGGCTTTATAAGAGACTTGCATATTATTGGACACCCACCCCCAAAGGTAAGCAAAATATGCACAAAGTGAAGTCCTGGCCCTACCAGTTAGGGTGGGGGACCCCGTGGGGGGAGTTCTACACTGGAGGTGGCTGCTAGATTGATAGCAGATTCCCATCTTCCCTCCTTGCTCTCTGGTCTCCATCCATCCATCTTTTTGGTTATCATATTGATATATTAGAGGGACACGGTGGCTCAGTGACTAAGACGCTGAGCTTGTCGATTGAAAGGTCAGCAGTTCAGTGGTTCAAATCCCTAGTGCCGCGTAACAGGGTGAGTTCCCGTTACTTATCCCAGCTTCTGCCAACCTAGCAGTTCGAAAACACATAAAAAATGCAAGTAGAAAAATAGGGACCACCTTTGGTGGGAAGGTAAGAGCGTTCCGTGCGCCTTTGGCGTTTAGTCATGCCGGCCTCATGATCACGGAGACATCTTCGGACAGCGCTGGCTCTTCGGCTTTGAAACGGAGATGAGCACTGCCCCCTAGAGTCGGGAACGACTAGCACATATGTGCGAGGGGAACCTTTACCTTTACCTTTATTGATATATCATTATGTTGTGTTTCTTTATCGTTCTTTATCTTATTGTTCTATTATTTTACTTCCGTTTACATGCCTTGCATTTTTCTCTTTTTTATTATTGCGAGGCTCCTAGAGTAGCCCTACAGTGAGATAGGCAGCAAATAAAATTTAACAAGTAATAAATAAAAGGACAGAATGATGAAACAACAATAACAACAACAACAAACCCAAACAAAATAAAATGGTGCATTGTTTAACACTCTACTTAATTTTCTTTTCTCTCTTGGACCTCAGAAATCCCAAAGGAGGAGATTCCAGAGGCCTGGAATGAAATGCCATTGTCTGCCCTTGAATTCTCTGTCACTACTCAGAACAGGAATCTCGACTTGAAAGTAAGAAAATAAAAGTTCAACCCTCACTTAACAACTTTTCCCCAATTTGACCATTAGGTGCTATTCTATGGTATGTTTCTTAACTGCTAATTCCTTTACTGTTAATAATCCTTAAAGGCAGAAATTATCCACCACTTCAGTGTCTCCATTGCCATTTTTAAACCTGGTTGCTAAATCTGTTATCCTCAGTTTGATTTTCTTTATATTTATTTGAGACTGATTTTTTTTTTTAACGCTGCTCCTTTTTCACTCAGATCTCCCGAGCTTGGAGATCATTTGCATTTTCAGCTATCAAACTGTACATCAGCACAGTGCCAATTATTGATGTTTCTTTCTCCAGCCTTAAAACCGCATCCATCTTCTTCCTATCCAGCTTCCCTTTATTTATATTCTGTATATAGATTGAATAAAAAGAGGGATACAGCCTTATTTCATTCCTTTGCAAATATGAAACCATTCTATTTTGTCATGTTCCATCTGGACTTTGTCTTCCTGACCTGTGTATAGTTTTCATATAAGGCCAATAAGATGTTCTGGGATCCCTGTTTTTCTAAGTGCATGTCAGTTTGACATGATTGACACAATCAAAAGCCTTTCTATCATCAATGAAGCACATATCAAATTCTTTTTGGCAGTCTTTGCCTTTCTCAGTTATCCAGCATTCCTCGGCAATAATATCTTATGTTCTTGGCCTTTTCTAAAGCCAATTTGAATATTTGGCATCACTCTTTTCCATGTAGGATTCTAACCTCTGTTTGGTGATCCCAAGTATTATTTTGTTAACATGTGAAATTAAGGCTATTGTACAACAGTTTGCATGCTCTGTTATGTCATCTTTCTTTGATATAGCAATACCAATAGCACTTAGATTATATGCCGTTTTATGGTGCTTCATAGCCCTCTCTAAGTGGTTTACAGAGTCAGCATGTTGCCCCCAACAATCTGGGTCCTCATTTTACCAATCTTGGAAGGATGGAAAGCTAAGTTAACCTTGAGCCAGTCAGGATTGAACTCCTGGCAGTGAGCTGAATTAGCCTGCAATACTGCATTCTAACCACGGCGCTATATGGTACATAGAATGTTATCTTCCAGTCTGTTGACTACTATATCGTTCTCCATATTTCCTGGAAGTTTTGTTACAACTTTACAGATTTATCTGTTGCTTGCCATATTTCTGTAAATATTCCATCAATAACTGTAGCCTTCTGATGTAGTAACGTAAGTATTTATCTAATTTCATCTTCTAGTAATAGATTTTTTAAAAAATAGGGACTATCTTCTAAGATACCTTGAATGTTGACTTTTCTACTATACATCTTTGTTTGATCTTCTCTGAATGAGTTCCCATCTGTCTAGGGGCGTTCTTGGCATACTAATTCAAGGTTGGAATCTTGTCCTGAATTCTGAGATTGTTTGGAAGAGTTTCCTTGTTTTTCAGTGTTTTCATTTTTTATGTCTTTATAGATGTTGCTGTAATACTGCTTCTTGTCTCTTCTAACATCTTTCTGAAATTTTTTGTTAAATTCATTTGAGAGCTTTGTCTTCATGGCTTTGCCTTTCTTCAAATTCAATGGTTTGTTCAGATTTTTCACTTTTATCTTTAACCAGTTTATTTAAATTCCTTCCACAGTTTCTGCTGTGTTTAGTAGATGACTCTGTCTTTTTAATCCATACATGAGTCAATGTTAGACTACCTTCTCATAGGAAGAATCAAATATTTTTCACAAATATGCCTGGAATATTTGTGAGATGCTGAGATGTTAATGCTAACATCTCTCTTTTGGAAATACTTGTTTCAGCGTGAAGAAGACTTCATGAATATTTGTATTGAACCAGATGCAATCAGTAGAGGAGACTACGTAAAAAGAGGGTGAGTATTAGAGAACCTGCCTTATGTACCTTATCATGAGTATTAGAGAACCTGCCTTATGTACCTTATTTCTCCTCAAGAAACCTTCCCTGGACCCAGCAGTGTTGGCAAATTATCGTCCAGTCTCCAACCTTCGCTTCATTGCGAAGGTTGTTGAGAGTGTGGTAGCGCGACAGCTCCCCCAGTACCTGGATGAATCGTCGTATCTGGATCCGTTCCAGTCGGGCTTCAGGCCTGGGTACAGCACGGAAACGGCATTGGTCGTGTTGGTTGATGATCTCTGGAGGGCTCGGGACAGGGGTTGTTCCTCTGTCCTGGTCCTATTAGACCTCTCAGCGGCTTTTGATACCATCGACCATGGTATCATGCTGCACCGGCTAGAGGAGTTAGGGGTGGGGGGCACCGTCTTACGGTGGTTCTCCTCCTTTCTCTCTGACCGGTCGCAGTCTGTGTTGACAGGGGGGCAGAGGTCGACCCCGAGGCCCCTTGTATGTGGGGTGCCACAAGGGTCGGTCCTCTCGCCCCTTCTGTTCAACATTTATGTGAAGCCGCTGGGTGAGATCATCCGTGGTTTCGGGGTGAAGTACCACCAGTACGCTGATGATACTCAGCTGTACATCTCCACCCCGGACCACCCCAACGATGCCCTTGAAGTGATGTCCCGGTGTCTGGAGGCCGTGCGGATCTGGATGGGGAGAAACAGACTCAGGCTCAACCCATCCAAGACCGAGTGGTTGTGGTTTCCGACATCCCGATATAGTCAGTTGGTGCCATCACTGACTATTGGGGGCGAGTCACTGGCCCCCATGGAGAGGGTTCACAACTTGGGTGTCCTCCTGGACTCACGGCTGTCTTTAGAAGAGCACATGACGGCTGTGGCCAGGGGGACTTTTTATCAGGTTCGCCTGATTCGCCAGTTGCGTCCCTTTCTGGATCGGGACTCGTTAAATACGGTCACTCATGCTCTCGTTACTTCCCGCTTGGACTACTGCAATGCTCTCTACATGGGGCTCCCCTTGAGGAGCACCCGGAGGCTCCAGCTGGTCCAGAATGCAGCCGCGCGGGTGGTTATGGGAGCGATGTGGCGCTCCCATGTGACCCCCCTCCTGCGCGAGCTGCACTGGCTCCCGGTGGTCTTCCGGGTGCGCTTCAAGGTTTTGGTTACCACCTTTAGAGCGCTCCATGGCATCGGACCGGGGTATCTACGAGACCGCCTTCTGCTACCAATAGCCTCTCACCGACCAGTACGCTCCCATAGAGAGGGGCTCCTCAGGGTGCCGTCGGCCAAACAGTGTCGACTGGCGGCCCCCAGGGGGAGAGACTTCTCTGTGGGGGCACCTACCATCTGGAATGAGCTCCCCCCAGAGATACGGAAGATCCCGGACCTGCACACGTTTCGCCGTGCTCTCAAAACTTTTCTATTCCAGCAAGCTGGCCTGGCCTAACTCCCATTTTTTAAATTTTTTAAATTTTTTAATTTGTGATTTTATAAATTGGGTGTTTTAATCTGTGTTTCGGCCGAAATATTTAACAATTTTAAGGGATTTTTTAATATTTGTATTATCTGTATTTTATCTTGGCTGTTCACCGCCCTGAGTCCTTCAGGAGTAGGGCGGTATAGAAATTTGATTAATAATAATAATAATAATAATCATAGCCATCAATTTTATTTATTTGTTTGCTCTGTGAATATTAGAAGAAATTTTTATTTCAAAGAGTGATTAAAATGAAAGAAAAGATAGAAAAGTTTTCTACCATGCCAGAATTCCGTGCAGTAACATATTTCTTTATTATTTGTTAGATTTATAGTACATCTTCCCAAGAAGCTCTAGGTATCACTCTTTTTAGGTGGGCAAGGTCAAGGAATTGACATGACAAGGTCAAGGATTCCAGAAATGTTCTTATCTTAGGGTAGAATAACAGAATCTTGCAAGCTCCTTCCTAAAAATTCTTCAGTTCCTTCCTTATTTGCAAGGCTAGAGTACATTGGTGTACATAATAGCAATAGCACTTAGACTTATGTACGGCTTCATACTGCTTTCCTGCCCTCTCTAAGTGATTTACAGAGTCAGTATATTGCACCCAACAATCTGGGTCCTTATTTTACCAACCTCGGAAGGATGGAAGGCTTGAGCCGGTGAGGATCAAACTCCTGACCGTGAGCTGAATTAACCTGCAATACTGCATTCTTACCACTGCGCCTCCCAGGACTCTTAGTAGTACTTCCACCTTCATTTTTATCCCTCCTATATGTGAAGTGGATTAGACTGAGAGATATTGGTCATGTGATCAGTTTTTGCGACCTTCTGACAAGCAAAATCAAAGCCAGATTCACTAACTTAACAACTGCAGTGATTCACTTAACAACTGTGGCAGGAGAGGTCATAACATGAGGCAAATTTCACTTAGCAACTGTCTCGCTTAGTAACAGAAATTTGGGGCTCAATTGTGGTCGTAATTTGAGGACTACCCATAGTTAAAAGGTGAGGAAGGGCAAGTACAATAAAACAGTATATATATTTCACTAGATAAAATATGTGTGTATGTGTGTATACAGTGTGGATAGATAGATAGATAGATAGATAGATAGATAGATAGATAGATAGATAGATAGACAGACAGATAGCACTTAGACTTATATACCGCTTCATAGTGCTTTACAGCCCTCTCTAGGCGGTTTACAGAATCAGCATATTGCCCCCAACAATCTGGGTCCTCATTTTACCCACCTGGGAAGGATGGAAGGCTGAGTCAACCTTCAGCCTAGTGAGATTCAATCTGCCAAACTGCTGGCAGCTGGTGATCAGCAGAAGTAGCCTGCAGTACTGCACTCTAACCACTGGGCCACAATGGCTCATGATAGATAGATAGATAGATAGATAGATAGATAGATAGATAGATAGATAGATAGATAGATAGATAGATAGATAGATAGATAGATAGATAGATAGATGATAGAAGGATGGATGGATAGATATGGATGGATGGATGGATGGATGGATGGATGGATGGATGGATGGATGGATGGATGGATGGATGGATGGATAGATAGATGATAGATAGATAGATAGACACACACACACACACACACACACAGAGTATATGTATGTGTACCATGTTTCCCCGAAAATAAGACCCTGTCTTATATATATTTTTTGAACCCTGAAATAAGGGCTTGGCCTTATTGCCATGCGCTTAAAAGCCCGATTGGGCTTATTATCAGGGGATGTCTTATTTTGGGGGAAACAGGGTGGGTACACACACACACATACACACACACACACTTAGAGATAAGCAGCAAACAAACAAAACAAAAGCCAGTAGAGGGCCTTTGAGGAGACACTATAATTTAAAAATTGTCAGCTTTTCCTAGTTCTTATAGAAATAGGGTCCAAATATGGGACTCCTGGAGGTGGGTTTCCTTGCCTTGTCTTCCAGTTCCAAGAATGCTACCCCCACCAAACCCCTTCTGAAGAGCCTTCTTTAGCAAGGACAGTTTTGATGTGTGGAGTCCAGTGACCGTGTGAGAGTTTCCCCTGTGGGAGCCACTTTTTTAATCTGTTCACGTAGCCTTGATGGGTTGAGTTGCATCACAGCTGGTTTCACCAGCTGTCTGAGCAGGTAATGAGGCTGAATGGGGTGCTCACACATAGAAGCAATTAAGCAAAGACAGAAAAAGGTCAAGCTAGAACCAACGCCAGCCAAATAACATCATGGAAATGTAGTGCTTAGGTAAACATTTTATATAAGAAGCTATTTTATTTTTGTATGCGTTCCTGCACTGATGTAAGATGGTATCTTTGAATACAAATCACATGGTAAATTGTGGGTAAGGATAAAGTGGAAGTCAATGTTTTGCCTTGATTATCCAGAACCTTCTCATTAAAAATATTCAGCAGTAGAGCAACAAGGTAGGTACAATTCTGAAATGTAAATATAACTAAAAAAGCCAAAAGCTGCTTCAAGTAGATATTTTTCAGGTAAGACAGATATTGCTAGAAGTGTATATAAATAACAATTGCTGGTGCCTTTAACCAGGCAACCAGGCTTCTAAATCTGGAATTTTTTCAGTGATAGCGTTCAGTGGCATATTTCAGATTATAATTTAAAGTTTCATAAATTACGATTTTATGTAACCATGGGGAGTCATCAGAACGAACAATATACAAAACTTCTACAAAACCCTAATTAGAAATAACAAATATACTTTCCTGTCATGTATGTTTTCTTCCTAACTTTTTAAAGCTGGAACTTCCCGATTGTGTTCAATTAGGGTATTTGCATCTATGTCTGAGGAAAAAAAGTTTTGACCCCAGCTTTTTAATTTTAAGGGATAGATGAGCTCTGCATACGAACTATAAAGTTCAGCTCATTTAGAGGGCAGAACTCTTTAAATGCTAAATCCATCAAAAATACATCGGACTGAAACTTCATTGTAAGTCTGCATGCAGATCCTCCCGGTTCGGTCCGGTTCGGCAGAGCTGGTAGCGGTGACGATATGATGTCACCGAACCGGTTCTCTCCCCCCGCCCTCCCCCCCACCCACGTTATTCTTACCTTTTATTTGGTCCCACCCCCAATCTATTGCTGCCTCCTGAGTCCCAGCTGATGACTAGAGGGAAAAAAACTGTTTAAACTCTTGCCGCGGGGCTTCAAAGGGCCGTCCTATAGCTGATCAGTGTTAAAAGCAAACAAATGAGTTGGGTCGTAAGTGCGAGGACTGGTCGTAAGTGCGAGGACCTTCCAGAAATGACTCTGACCAGCTAACCATGCCCACCTAGTCACATGACCTCCAAGCCACACCCACAAAATAAGCCACGCCCACAAAACCGATTGTAAAAAAATTTAGAACCCACCCCTGATGCAGATACCCCAAAACTCATGCACCAGTTGTAGCAATTCCCTGGATTAATTTACTTACTGGACAAGAATGCAGTACAATATATATATATCTCTCAAGAGTTAGTGGCATTTATGTAGCTCAAATACTGTTCTCGGATTGCAGAGATTATGTTCAAAGTTTACAAGCATGAAACTCCTTAGAAGCAATTTGTCTCTTAGAAATATAATGCCTCAAGTCTTTGAAAGAATGGGTCATGTAAAAATGTTACACTGTTTTGTATTGTAATGCAAAATTGTTAATTTTATTTGATCTTACAAGTGCTGCTATTATTTACTATTTGCTTCTGAAGTTTTTTCCCAGCTCCCTCTACTTTCTTTTTGCTCATACTTTAAATCAGTGGGTCTCAACCTTCCTAATGCTGCGACCCTTTAATACAGTTCCTCATGTTGTGGTGACCCCCAACCATAAAATTATTCCTAAAACCATTGAAAAGATGTGTTTTCGGATGCTCTTAGGCGACCCCCGTGAAAGGGTTGTTCGACCCCCAAAGGGGTCCCGACCCACAGGTTGAGAACCACTGCTTTAAATTATAAGCATAAATATTTTCCTATGTTCCTCTTGTTTTGCACAGAAGCCAAAAGATGAAGGACCCCCACTTGTGTCCTGAAGGAAGTCAATGTCTTCAGGCTAGCAAATGTGTTTTGCAGCTTCCAGAGGTGAGAAATCAAATGCTGTAATGCACACTGAGCTGGTTTTATTCTCTCCCACCTTAGAAAGAGTGGTGGCTTTTCTTCTTTCTGTGTAAAGAGATGGAATAGATAGATGAGTTTTGCTTAAGTGAGCTTTGAAGCAGATTCTCATGTCTTTGTGGACTGATTGACCAGCTTTCATATCCTTGCTATTGGTTAACTACATTTTCATGTATGTACAAATGTGTATAATATAATGCCAGACTCTACCTCCAATTTGATCCTTTTAGCTGTCAGAATATCCATGAACTGGAATAGGGCATCGTAACAAGGTCAGCCAATGAATAAGCAAAGCAAGTAAGTCAGAAACAGAAATGTAAGCAAGGAGTCTGGGCGTGGCTTAGCTGTGCTGAGCTCTGAGTCTGCTGTTGGAACTGAAACTGAAAGCTGTTCTCTTTTCTGCCTCTTTTTTTTTATCTCTCCTCTCTATCACTTTGGAAGAACCACTCTTGGTATTGTATATATGTCTCATGTGTTATATTGTATATAAAGAGAAATTAATGAATCCTGCTGAATCAGTTACCTGTGTGTGCTTTCTGGATTTGATTTTTGCAACAAACTCTGACATTACCATGATCTCTATATATGCAAGTTGGTAAGGTTAGTTTTGAAGGATCTCTAAGCAGACAATTGTATTAGCAAGAGTTTTCCATTAGGCTATATGTAGGCACAAAGATTTATACTCAGATATAACAATAGCAACAGCACTTAGACTTATATACTGTTTCATAGTGCTTTACAGCCCTCTCTAAGCAGTTTACAGAATCAGCCTATTGCCCCCAACAATCTGGGTCCTCATTTTACCAACCTCGGAAGGATGGAAGGCTGAGTCAAACTCGAGCCAGTTAAGGATCAAACTGTTGGCAGTCGGCCGAGTTAGCCTGCAGTATTGCATTCTAACCACTGTGCCACTATACCACAGATATATTGGGCAATTATCATCCTTGCATAAAATAATTTGTTTTGTCTCCCTGGCTGGGTGCCGTATCACACAAAGTCCTAATGAAAAGAATTTGGGTTTTGGCATAGAATGCCATGTAAACCCAATCAAATTTTGGCTTACTCAACACACCGGGATTAAGAAAAAAGTAGTGTACAGTGAAACACAGACCCAGTTACCCATTGGCTAACAAAATGTTAGCCAACAAAATGTTTAGATCCGTGGCAATACAACCGAGCTGTAATTGGGGACATTACCACATTTGGGACATGAATGTTGGATCTTCACTGCCTGTCCTGGTGCTGCAGAATTCTAAAGAGAACCACTGTCAAGATGTAGCTCGAGGCAGCGTATCTGCTTTGTTGTCCTGTTGTGTGAAAATCTCTTGATCTTTTCGTGTCTGCAGGATACAGAAGGCTCTTTAGCTATAGACAATGAAGAGCATGAAGCAATGACAGTGGAAGTGAAGCTGTTGCCCAGGAAACTCCATTTCTTCTGCGATGCCAGGAAAAAAGAAGAAATGCTCCAAGGTATATCATAATCAAAGCAACTGGTTCAAGGTGTATTGCAATCAAAGGGTTGACTTGGGTGACTGCCCGAACTGTTTTAACGAACTGCATCTGAAGACTGCACATCTTTCCTTCAGTTATGATGAAAGCCTTCCTTTTTCAAACTTATGCAAGTCAGAAATTGAGGAAGAAGAACGAAGATGGAAACATTTTGTTTTTTCTTTTCGTCCGGTTCCAATTATTTCACAAAAAAAACGACTTCCCAAATATCTCTGTGGCAAGTGTTTTCTGGTTTTAAACACTTTTGGTATAAACTTCCATTTGTACACCTGGTACATCTGTACTTCAGACCATTGAACATGCTCCTGCTTTCCCTCATGTTGCTTCTTTTCCCATTTCAATACTTGAGGTATAGGCAGCCCATCAGTGTTATGCTTATGTTTAGAAAAGTGATTAAAAATTAAGAGCTGTCTCAGAGAAAAGTATCTAAAATAGAATCACTAATAACCGATCAGTGAACCATTAGATCAGATTCCCGCAGCTTGACTGGCAGCCTGTCTCTGGTATTAAGCACATATTATCCTACTCTTATTCTACAAGAGGAAGGATGTGAAAAAGATCAAATCTGGAACTTCTTGCATGCAAAAGACCCATAATCTCTACTTCCATCAAGCTGATTTCTGACACCTAATATTAGACGAAGCACAGGGTTTTTTGGCACATGAGCCACCTGAGTTTGGAGTAACAGTCTTCTGGAGTTTCGTTCGCAGAAAGAACAAAATGAAGCAATTTACTTCATGTTTTGGGTGTCTTTACAGGCCACACAGCTAGTTGTTTTTTTTTTAAAAAAATACCTCAAGTCAGCCAGAGAGACTCAGTGCGTTAATAAATAAAACTGGTAATTTTCCTATTGCCACTGGGTGGAGCTAGTTGAAGGAATTATCTTTATGTTTACCTGTTAGGGAAGTTTATTTTCTACTTTTAATGGTTTGTTTTGAGATGTTAGGTTGTAACAATGCTGTCACCCATCTGTTCTGTGTCTTTTATGCTTTCTTTTATAGACAGATTGCCAAATACAAAATAACACACAGCATGTGTGCATTATAGTTACTTTGCTATTCAGTCTTCAAGTTACCAAATACTAAACATGTTGCATTATTCATCTGCAGAGCTTTAAAGACAGGGCCAAATATATATATTTAAAAAGTGTACTGTACATGAATGTTAAAAAGATATAAATTGATAGCTGGGAAAGTGTTTTTCTGCTTTGATGTCGTTCATGAGCTGGACTGAAGTAAACCCATTACTAAATATTGTCTCTGATTGAAAGCTGGCGTTGAAAAATACATGATTATTGCTTTGTTTGCTATTTTTTAATTAAATATAAAAACAACCGTCTTGTGCCTATTTTTTTTCCAGCTAAGACAATACATAATACTCAACATAGAATACCGCCCAACCTCGATTTGTAGATAACGATGTAAAAAGGTTGAAAGTGGGTAACTTTGACTTTTCATTGCTTCCAAGGGTACAACTCAAAAAGAAAATACAGGTTTTATTCTACAGTATTAAAACATTGCATGTTTGGACTGTATTGATGGACTATTCTAGGTTAATTTGTTTTGAGTTTGAGGTTCTTGCACAACTCTGGAAATCGGTGTGCTGTCCATAAAAATACCGTGTGAATATAACTGCTAATATCTATGGATACGACAATTATACTCTACTATCAGCAATTTAAAAAGATAAAGGTTCCCCTTGCACATATGTGCTAGTCATTCCCGACTCTAGGGGGCAGTGCTCATCTCCGTTTCAAAGCTGAAGAGCCAGCGCTGTCCAAAGACGTCTCCATGGTCATGTAGCTGGCATGACTAAACGCCAAAGGCTCACGGAACGCTGTTACCTTCCCACCAAAGATGGTCCCTATTTTTCTACTTGCATTTTTTATGTGCTTTTGAACGGTTAGGTTGGCAGAAGCTGGGACAAGTAACGGGAGCTCACCCTGTTACATGGCACTAGGGATTCGAACCGCTGACCTGCCGACCTTTTATTTATTTATTTATTTATTTATTTATTTAAATTTGTATACCGCCCTTCTCCTAGTGGACTCAGGGCGGTGAACAGCCAGAGCTAAAACACATGCAGATACAAAATTTAAAATTGTTAAAAGAATTATATAACTGGCCCAATTTAAAACAATTCAATTTAAAACCTCATGACAATTTAAAACTAAAAAACTAAAAACACTAAAAAAGGGGAGGGGGTTCACGCCAGCCCTGCTTGATGGCGAAAGACCCGGAGATCCGATATCCTTCGTATCTCTGGGGGCAAATCGTTCCAGAGGGCAGGAGCTGCCACAGAGAAGGCCCTCCCCCTGGGGGTCGCCAGCCGACATTGCCTGGCTGACGGCACCCTGAGGAGTCCCTCTCTGTGGGCGCGTACTGGTCGGTGGGAGGCTATCGGCGGCAGAAGGCGGTCCTGCAAATACCCAGGTCCTATGCCATGGAGCGCTTTAAAGGTGGTAACCAACACCTTGAAGCGCACCCGGAAGACAACTGGAAGCCAATGCAGCTCACGCAGGAGAGGTGTCACATGGGAGCGCCCCCTCGCTCCCATAATCCCCCGCGCGGCCGCATTCTGCACCAGTTGGAGCCCCATGTAGAGAGCATTGCAGTAGTCCAGGCGGGAAATGATGAGTGCCTTGATCGATAAGCTTAGCCACTGAACCACCGTGTCCCTAAAACACAAGGGGCAAAGAGGGAGAGCAAATATTGAGTTATGAATTTTTACATGACCCATCAAGCTGTTTTAAATAATCAGCCAGCACAAATGATACCTGTGTTAAAAGTGAGTTTTAATACAGTAAAAAAAGAACATTATATATGTACACAAGTCCTTTTGGGGTTCTACATTAGCAATGAAATCCACAAAGGTAAGTGCTTTCTCCCTTATTGAAAGAAGCCACTGGTATAGTTTAAAGAAAAGTGCTTAGTCACAAGTTAATGAAGAGATCCTAGCTGCCCATCAAGTCATATTCACTCATAACATGTTTTCAAAACAAAGTTTATACACTAGAGTTAATTGAAAACAGGTGGGGAATATTACAGTTATTATGCAACAAGTTATATATGTTCTCTCATAGAAGCATGAAGGGATCCATTCACCAATATTCCAAAGGTTATTTTTCTTTTTTAAGGAAAAAAAAATAGGATAGTGCCTAAACCAAATCTTAATTTATACAGCTAATAGTGGAGATGTATTGGAATCTTCTTAGCCTAATGATGGCATGATGAAAACGACAGCCAGAGATATGTCATTGCTCTTTTGTTGTTTAAGCCTTGCAGAGACTTAAGGCACCCACTTAATTCCTTAAACCACCCCCAATAACAAGGGGGGGGGGAAGGTTAGCATTTTTAAGAGGTGTACCAGAAAGGTCTGCAAGGTTAAGGCACCCATTTCCCCACCCCCTAAAAACTACCCAATCACTACGTCAACAAAAAAAGCACCCAAATTAGGACCTTTAGGTCCTCCAAGTTGTTAGCAAAATAATGTTGGAAGATCCCACCAGCATTTCTTCGAGCATCTTAACTCTACTAGGGAAAGGGCCGGCAACTTTATTTTCAACTAACAGTATCTTCTGATTAGTGCAGGAATTCACTCAGTTAGCAATTAGCAGAATTGCTAATTGTAGAAGTTTTATTTCTACTGTGCTAGTTCCACTTTTTAGACAGAAGCAGCAAACTTCTTTTAAAAAGATAGGTAGAAGCCACTGCAACCGTATCATATTAAATAGTTTCCTAAGCAATCCATAATTCTCTGGTTGTACCGGATTTCCTTTGTCATTTAGATCAAGGAGGCAGACATACAGTATTCAAATTTCACTGTTTGTTCCACATAGCGAATATGACCTTATAAACAAATCCACTGATTATTTTTTCATAGCTAGCCATGAGTCACTCTAGTAACTTATAGCTTGGCTCGCCTTTGATTTCCATGGGTGAAATGAGCCAAGCTTTTACGTTCCCTGCAAGTCATATCAAGCAACGTAGGATGTTGTTTTAAGGATGAATCAATAAATTCACTTGCTAATTTTGTCAATCTACCTCTGTGTGTAAACTGTCCAGTGCTAAGAAATACACTTATAATAATACACATATGCATTATGTAAAATGGGTACTTGAGAGTGATTATGACCCAAATGTTTGTTTTTCAAAATGGCTCAGTACCAAAATGTCCTAGAATTATTAAATGCTATTAAATGAAAGGCTGGAAAAATGAAGAACTTGATATCATAGGCAAGAGAGTGCATTTTGTACATTCTGTATTAAATAGTAATTTCTACCTAAGCTATCTAATCAGTATTTAAGACAAAATGCACCTTTAATTCTGTACATTAGAGGAAACATCAGCTATTCATTAGCTGTATCTGTATATAAACATCAAATTCATTCTCTAAGGGCCTATGCTTACGTAGGCTAAACGGAACTATGCTTATATAGGCAAATCAGTGTAGAATAGGAAGCATCAAGTTGGTGTGGCAGAATTCCAGTGTTTGCAAAAAAGACACAAACATTAAATCAGAGGGAAAGACCCCTCCCCATTGCGCAGCCCAATGTACAATGGCCACAAAACAGTGAAAAGAAGGCTTCGTCTGACCCCATCCCCCAAGCTTTGCCCAAGGAAGGCTTTTCAAGTTAAAAGGAATTTGAACCACATTAATCATCGCTAGGCAACCTGCTCTTATGAATTCTTTTCAATTGTTGTATTTAAGATGAAAGCTGCGTTTCAAAGCTGTATTTGATTAGATGGAGGCCGATCTAGTTCAGTCTACAGTGAATTCATTATGCCATGGTATAATGCTGGAGGTGCAACCTGACCAAGTTTTCCTAAACGTGGGCACAGGAACAAATATTAAGATCATAAAATTGAAGAAACTGAATCAACGCAATTGGTTTGTGCAAACAGGATCTGGCAAAAATAATTCCAACATTTCCTGTGGATGCCACGAAAACGCTGTTCCTGAACTCACAAGGAAGGCAGGTAAAAGCGAGGACAGGCACAACTTTACACATCCAAGATCAGACTGTTCCTTCTTTCAAAACCAAGAGAGTTTATTTCCACAGTGTAATTCAAAAACTCATATGCAAATATTGTACTGCTCCTCCCAGGACTAATACTGTACTAACCATGGCTGAAAAATTCTATAAAGGCAGTGGTAGGATTCAGCCGATTTGGGCGAATCAGTAGTTAAATTGCTGGCTGGCCATGCCCCTTCCAGGAGTCCCCATGTGCCCCATTTTGGCTCCCAGGAGGCTTCAGGGAGGCCTACTAGGCCCAAAACGGGGCACGGGGGGCATGTCCCCTCCTGCGGCCCGTTTTTGCTCCCAGGGGGGTATAGGAGGCTGAGTGCTGCCTATCACACCCCTTGGCCACGCCCACCAAGACACACCTACAGAACCGGTAGTAAAAAAATTTGAATCCCACCACTGTATAAAGGGTATCTTTAACTAGTTTCCCTGCTTGCAATAGCCTTTAGGGAAAGGTCTTGGCACAGGATTTGCAACCTTTAAGACGTGAGCCACAACCCAAGCCCCTCATCTGATCAAAATCATCATTTATTTGACTTTTTGATAACTTCTAGGTTTTTTTTTTTTTTTTTTTTTTTTTTAAAAATTGAATGGAAATGGGACTTTGGGGAGATTACTTTTTTTTTTTTTTATCTTGAACCACCGCCACCCCCCAAAAGACCCAGCTTGAAATATGGTGACAAAATTCAGACCAAAAATTCAGTAGCAAAATTTCTGACTAGGTTTTCTTTTTTTTAAGTTTCAATAAAGAAATCAATTGTTTCACTGAAAATTGGCTATTTTCCAGTGCGCTGCTTCCTACATTCCATGGCTGGGATCTTCACTTCCTTGTAGCTGATTACTGGGTGTTAAATATTCAAATTTTTTTTTTTACTCTGGTCTCCGCCCCCTTTATGCTGATTACTCCAGTCTTTTCACTCAGTAGCTGAGTACACTGGTGTTTTGATTTCTCTCTGTTCTTCTTCGTGAGTTATTGTGTTATTTATTTATTTATTTAATTTATTTAAGTTCATTAAAGTTAATTTACTTCACTTGATTAGTTAATTGACTGATTTAATTCATTAAGTTCATTTTAATTTAATTTAAATGATTTAATAATTCATTTCTAGTTAAGCTGGGACTGTATTTATTCTTGCATTGGACAATTACTGCTGCTGCTTATCAGTTTGGAGTTTTATATGTCTACCAACTTTAGAATTCTTTGAATGCCTCTAATTCAGCAGCCATTCGAAGTCAGTCCTGTTGGGCTGCTACGTGTATGATATTTGCCGCAGGCGGTGCGCTGCTGGGCAACTGGTGAGCCGGTT